GTGTTTGGGGAAGTGCACTTCTCCCTCCAAAATAGATTTAAGTGCAGGGTAGGAGCTACATCGAGGTCAGAGTTACTGTCCCTCTGCTCTAGTCAACCCTGAGACCAGTGTGGATATTTGGGTTGAATGGAAACAAAACATTTAAATGGGCATTTTCACTGTAGAATTACATGTAAAAAATGTTTTTCAAAACTCATAGTGTGATTTCAGTTGTAGAAAGTGTTGTACTCCTGGCACAACCTCCAGGTTAAAGAGGCTCTATTTTGCATGTTGGGGTTTTCCCTTTCCTTTAGTGTGTTATATAAGTTTTTGTGCATGTAAATGGTCTGCAAAGGCTAAAGTTCCCTCCAGTGGGAGTGTCTCTCCCACACAGTCAAAAATGTGATCAGTCCCTGCCAGAAATCAGATAACAGCAATAGTTCCACATTTTGGGAAACATTTTTGTCTTCCCTTAAAGATCAAATGCAAAGCTTTTTGTATAATTGCCAGTACAATCGAAATCATATAGCTACAACACTATCTAAGATATTGCAGTATTAAAATGAGTCTGGCAATGCGCAATATTAATTTTGTTCAACCCCCAACACCAAGTCCGACGATTTATTTTCTCTGCCGCTCCTCCGCAAGATGGCGGCGCGTGACGTCAGATGTGCCAAACATATTTCCACCTGGCTTATCAATCACAGCGGCTTCCGCCGATAGTACAACTAGTTTCGTCTATCATGTCTGATTCTGAGTAGACTATAGACTAAAAGCTTTAGGAATCCAAACTATAACATATAATAAGTACCCTGTATCAAGATTGATGCAAAACAAGTGAAATTTGACCTTTTTAGAGAGGTTTAGAAAAATAAAGTCTAGGCGCTCTGAGTGAGCCTCTGAATTAGCCCCGAGCGAAAAATGCTCGCAGCGGCTCACAGCGGCTTCCGCCGATAGTACAACTTAGTTTCGTCTATCATGTCTGATTCTGAGTCGGAGGCCACCCAATATCTGGAGTATGTTGTCGACATCCAACCATATCTATACGAGCCTCTGATGTCGAAGAGGAAATACAAGGAAACGTCACCTGATATCACCGATGAAAGTGCTGATGGCGATGATTCAAGTTCGCCATCTGAGGAAGAGGCCGAGGGTGCTGAGAATTGGTGTAGATGTGGAAAATGCCAGACCATGCCTACAAGCCGAGAAAACAAGTGCTGCCACAACTATGGGAAAGTGAAGGAAGAGATGGGAGAAGAAGTCTGCATCACCGACTGTAGGACGTTCGACATTTTCCGTTATGAGTGGAGGAGCGATGAATGAGCTGCAGATAAACTACAATGCTAACAGTGAATTAGCCCCGAGCGAAAAATGCTAACCTATCACTCCTAGCGCCCTTATTACTTATCCTAGCTCCACATCCAACACATTGTTTATGATCGTAAAGACACAGAATCTAACGGTGCCCACCTCTATAAGCAATAAAACTGCAATTCCGTTATCTGCGTTATCTGCTGTGCTCCGTGCGCTTTGAAATCTAATCAAAAGTTGTTTACCTCAATTCTTTGGCGTTTTTGCATCGCCCGGCTCTTTCGTTCTTTCAGGGGTTTCTTGTGCTGAAATATGGAGGGGACGGCTCCGGGTTTCAGCCTCCGACGTGCTATTAATGCTTCTCCACCAACAGACTTCATGATAGCAGGATCAACGTCGTATGCATCACACGCGAAGTGGTCAGAACACAACTTGCTCCATTTTGTCGGTTGCCATCCAACACGATTCACTAAAAAAATCCATTTTTTGCGGATGATTTGGTCTTTGGGAAATGCATGTAAAACTCTCCCAGATCCCTCACCGTTCGTACAACAAAAAGCTCAACAATAACCCATGTTAATTCAGTTTTATTTTCGAAAAACATGTGACCGAGACTGCCGAGTCGGGATATTTGGTCCAGAGACTGTTTGGCCACTATTACGTCACGCGCGCGGAGGCTGCTGGGAATTACATGTCAGAAATTCAGACGGCTTTGGGTCGAGTTTTGGATCAATACAAAGCTTTTTTTTGGGTGTATTATCTCGATTTAAATAAAATAAAAAATACAGGCAGTCTTAAAAACAACATTTCTATAAAAATGTAGCATATTTGGAAGCTTTGCATTTGATCTTTAAACAATTTCTTTACATCTAGCCAAAATAATTCATGTTGTTACCCTTATGGATTGTGACAGTTTTGAAATTGTAATCGCTTCAACAAGAAAACATAAATGGAACTCTCCTGAGGTACTTTGTCCTGCCGTTACAGTAATAAAGTGTGGAGGTTGGATTGTGGATGTGGCTTTTTTCTGACAGTGTTTGTGGGATTTTTTGGACCGTGCAGCGGATCTGTTCAGCGCGGCTGCCTATCACAGAGTATGACTAAGGTGCCCTCAGTGACATCTTAATGGGAGCCCTTGTACTCATTACTTCTTCTCCAGTAACAGTGCTGTGCCTGGAGCATTATTCTGCTCCTTCTCCACCGCGACACTGAATGGCTGCCATATGGCAAACGTGACTGGTCCACTTAAAGAGTGGCAGGTGCCTTATATAATCACTTGCTACTTTGAAACATAAGCTGCTGGGTCATGATTATGATGATTGCAAGTAAACATCTTGGTATACTGCGGTTTGAAACCTGAGACCATTACATTTCCAGGGAGATTTGTGTTGCAGTGACAATCACAAGGAAGATAGTGACAATCATCATGCAAACCGGGAGAGAGAGGCCACAGTCGGTGGCATGTAAGAGCACCTGATATAAGGCAGACAGTGCCTTGCATTACGACGAGAGAGCCAGTGAGTCACCTTGCCTCAGTCCACCCTGAGAGCATTCAGCACTTCACTGTCAGCTGCTCCTGTAATTCCCCCGAAACTAAGGTTAAGGAGCTGGGTGCTTGAAGCTCAAGTGTACCAGCAAGGTGCTTTTATTCATGATTTTTCAGAGAAAGTATTTGGTCCAAGATGTTCTCATGCAGCCCTACATCACATGCTGGCAGCCGTGTGTGATTTCTCTTGTGGCTGGAACAGAAAATCAAGGAAAACCCTTGAAGAGCGCAGACCTCCGACCAGGCCAACTGCTTTATGCAATGTTGACGAAAATGACAAAATAATGTGTTTCCTCCAATGATTTGGATCGACTGTAAATGTTAGGTAGTTTTCCCTTGGCCTACGCTACACCCTTCTACCAATTTCAGGAAATTCTGTAGAGTAGGATTTTTATCATGATCCTCTGTACAACCAACAAGCTTAACAGAAAATCTAACCCCTAGGTGGATAAATGATTGACAACCACAGTGCCAGAGTTAGAGAAAAATACACTTTTCTCCTGAAAATGACAGTGACTGTCTGCACTGCAATATTCAGCCAAATCTCACCTGTGGGCTTTAGCTGCACGTCAAAAGAGGCAGGTCACGAATCCTGTGGTCACGCTTTGAGCAGGCTATTTACTTTGGTATATAATTGCTTGGGAGGAAAGTGGGAGTGAGGAAGGTGCCAGAATAGCCCCCCTGCTGCTCCAAATAGTTTGAGATGGATTTCCTGGAGTTTGCACAACTGCTAGTCTAAGAGGGCCCATTTTGAGAAATAAAAGCAATAAAGGAGGTGTTTCAGAGTGATCCCTGCAGACACGTTCCTGCAGAAACAGAGAGAGAGGTCATTTACTTCCTAATTGACCTTGTTGGCTTGTCTGGGGCTTTTGCTTAAAATGGTAGCTGTTTAGGACACCTGACACTGGAGCAGCAGCTGGGGATGCCTCCTGCTCTTTGTTCCAGAGTCCTGCAGGTTGTCAGTATCTCTCTGAACAAAGATGTAGATGAGATGGTGCCACATGGCTGCTGCTGGTTTGTAAACAGCCCCTCGTCCAGATGCTTTTGCCGCACAGTTTTTATTACTTGTGTATGACTGGGGAATGGCAATCTTAAAAGTGGAGTATAATCAGAGCCATTCCTTTTATAATCAGTACATTTTAAGGACTGTGGATTTAGTTACTAACTAACCACACTTTTTCTGTAAGGGAGGGTAGGTTCGAAAATGATTTGAGTATGGTGGGAGTGGGGGGGCTAAACAAAGATGTTTCTCTTTTGGCATTATCAATACTCATGCAGGAACAATCTGTTTACAGGTTTTGAGGAGTGGCATTCAATTTAATTTAATCACATTTGAACTGCATGATTAAGAAAAGTGATGCATACATGTTTGGAGTACTCTTTAATATGCTAATAGAATTATTATTATTATTTGACATAACTAGATAAACATTTTTGTATTATGTATGTTCTGATTTATGTCAAACGTATCTCAGTTGTATTTAAACCAAGAGCTATTACTGTCACTTGATATAGCAAATGTATCTAACTTTAATTTCCAACACTCTCTCGCATGCTTTAGCTGTCATTGGGAACAAGTTAAATGAATGACCTTTAAAAGAAGTAGGATGAATGAAGAATGTCACCTTTGCCACAAGCAGCATGTGCATTAAATTAGGAGCATGTTATGAAAAAGGAGCCATTAAAACCAAAGCTACTTTTTCCACAGTGATTAAAAGGTTAAGTACAGAGTCGCTGCTTTCTGCCATTTCACGAGTTGACACCCTGCAAACGATAAGAAGGGTGCAGCACGAAGCTGCGGAGGAATGAGAAACTGTCAACAAAGCGAAATGGAGAGCAGTCTGCCTCGTCACCCTCAGAGCGAAAAATACTTCTGAAAACACGGATTTTACACATTATTACCTTTGGGAAAGTCTGTGACAGGTGCAACTAGGAGGCATGATTACTATATTGTTTGGCCTCTTTTTTGTCTCACTCTTCACACAAATACACAACAATAAGAAAAATATATAAAGGGTGTGATGAGATATCAACATTAAAGAGGGTAAGCTGTGTTTTTATTCGCAACTCATCCTGTAAAGAATATTCACAAGTGAGTTAAGAATTGTCTCTTTTCAGACTGCAGTCTTGACATTAATGTGATGTAACTCCCTCTCCGCTCCAGGTGTGCTCAGCCTACCTGAGGGTCTGACTCTTCACAGGGACCAGCAGCTGCAGCAGCGAGCGGGGAAGAGCGGAGATGGAAACGCCTACAGTCACTCTGAGCTGCGCTCCATCGAACAGTGTTTACTGGCTACAAGAGTGGGCAGCATCTCTGAACTCAGTAAGCTGTCTATGTGTGTATTTGTGTGTCAGTGTGTGACTGTAGAAGTCTGGATGGAGAAGTGAAGGACCATCGTTGACCTATCTCTCAATAAGCAAGGTAGTCTATGTGCCCTCGAGCAATGCAAAAGACCCACCTTACAGAGACCTGTTTTAAAATTAGATTCAAAAGAATAGGTGTTGCTAGTAACACTAATGATGGCTTTGTAGATGGCTTAACATAATGACCAAACCATATCATTCCAAACTCTCAGTCACAGGATTTCCCACAGACTTACATGTGGAAAGAGACCTCTGTAAATCAAGTTGAGATAAACCAAATACCCAGTATAAAAAAACGAAATAATTTTTTGTTTTAATCAGTAGGTCCTGAAACTTGTAAGATTCCTCTATATCAGAGTAGAGAGTAATTTTCCTTAATTTTTGTGTGCTGCCGCGGCAAACTTTATTGACTTCATGCGACTTAAAGCTACTTTCATAGGATGGAGCATTGCCCCACCAACGCTGCACCCATTTCTCTTCATACATCTATGGCAAAAGCTGAATAAATGCAGCTAATTGAAAATCAGCCATGATTAGTTTATTTTTTGTATGTCATGTTACGTTGCATTATGTCTTCCTCCTGTCACAAGTCAGATTGTCTTCATTGAAAAAGGCAAATGAATCGCTCTAAATGTAATCGAATGGTCACCTAGTCACGGTCAGGTGATTTTAATATACAAGTGCTGTGCTTCCAACTTTGACGCAATACTATTTAAGACTACTATTTATGCCCCAGTGCACAAACAAAGGCCCATAAAAAAATCATTTCCCACTTTTGGCATGGAGGAACTTGACTAGCCTCGTCCGACGCCTTTGGGATGCATTTTAGCACTGACTGCTAGCCAGGCCTTATCAGCCAACACCAGTACCCAAACTCACTAATAGGCTTTTTCACAGCCGTCACTTGTCACAGTAAGAAAAGCACAGGTGTTGCTAATAACATTAACAATGGCCCTGTTCTATTCAACTGTCCCAGTAAGTCATGACAGTGTGACAGGGAGTCAGCGTTCACAATAGCAGGACTCTGAAACGGCAAACTGGAACTCAGTTAACATTAATTATTCAGAACTGTGCTTATCATACTGTGACCGGTCAAAATGTATTCCAGAAAAAAGGTCTGTTCGCTTCTGGCTGAATGGGAACAAAGAACCCACAGCCAGGGTCCGCAAGCCTGTGGAAGCCTTTCCCAGAAGAGTGGAGGCAGTAATAGAAGCTTATTATTGCCCATGGTGTTGAATTGATATTTTCAGAGGTGGTAGGGACCATGTTCTTTTGTTTATCTAGCATGTGTGAAAAGAGCATGTCAGGTAAGAACCATACCATTCAACCAAGTTGGTATTTAACTGACATTTCTTAACAGTTACTTAATGGATGAAGACAATATTTCGTAGAGATATTGTTTGTTTCCATAGGATGAATTCTAGAGAGTTGTCATGTTGGCTATTTGAAAGGTAGCAATGACATTTAGAACGCATATGTCCCCCTGTGGGTGAAAATAATAACTTTGTTGGCTTCACTTCCTTCAAACTAGCCCCATCTGACCTACATTTTAATTTGTTTAATATTTAGATTTATAACCAAAATACTTGCAAACCTAGGACATGTTTTGCTTATACAGGGTTCCAGAATAATTGACCACGCAGATCAGGATAGCGGAACCAATAAAACAAAACAAAAAAATGTCTTTGTTCCATTCTAGTGTCACATGTTTTCAACATTGGAGGTCGAAAATCAAACCATTCCACTGGATTATAAGTCATATTTTACTTTACAATAATTGGTGTCGTTTTTTCCACGTAGATTTCATTTTTAGTTAAGTTTAAAAGTTTTTTAAATAAGAAGTCTTAGATCTAACTTTAGCCTCTTATTGTGTGAAGTAACCTCTGTTAGCATCGGGACATGCTCAGGTAAAACTAGCATTTAGCGTTTTCCCGTTTTGTGCATATTTAAACGAATGTTTATGCACTGTCAATGAGATCCATTTTAATAACCCAGAGCTATTTATTAAACATACTGTATGAGTTTGACAAGCCCTCCAAAAAATAATTGAATGTCTGTCCACTCACAATGTACTCATTATTCAAATGAAATAATGGGCTTCTGCATGCTTTCTGAATACAAAGTCATTTACATATGGTTTAGTTTTATATGATAATACTAATAGGTTTTGAGATACTGATTATGTTTTTCCCTCTTGTCCTCCCTTCCCAAAAAGTTAAACAGTTTGACAAAGCAAGGTTAAGCACACATTCCTCATTAAATATTGTTTTCTGTTGTGGGGGAGACTTTCTGACAAACTCTCAAGGCCTCGATGTATCCGCAGTGACAAGCTGAGGACACATCTTCCCTCTTTCGATATAAACATAGAATCACGACTCTCATTGGAAGTGTTGAACAGTCTTGTTTCTTGGTTGCGTGCAACTCTGCGGCTCATTCCAGAAAACAAATCTGAGAGCTGTCCTCTGACAAAAGAATAACACATTTAGTCACATAAGCACAAATTATCCCCCGATGTGCATGACAATATTTTTTTACAAAATAAATAAATCCACAAGCATAACAATGGTGAACGGGTCGTAGAGTCTGTTGCTGTCGTCATGGCATCGGGATGTCAAGACAAGGCTGGAAAAACATTCCCTGTATATCTAGTGTAAACATTTATCCTCTGAATAAACAGTGAGCCAATTCTCCTTACTGTATGTTTTCTCAGGGACAAGGCAGGGGGGGGCGCTCTGAGGCAAATCGCCTGTCCTCTGTCCATGTTGTATTGATGAGGTCAAGCAAGCACTCATTCTGTTATGTTGACCCTGCAAACACACTGTGAGACAACAGAGCCGCCGATGGATAATAGCCGAGCTTAGTCCGGTGCTAATGTCACAGCGCTGGAGAGGAATTCTGTCAATAACTATAGGATTTGCAAACAGACCCTCAAGCCCGGGATGAAAATGAATAATTGAGAAAAGCTGGGCCTTATCGCCCTGACATATTGTGTATCTGAAAGAGACTTGAGATGGGGGAAAGAAAGGTATTACATTTGGGATGGTTAGAAAGAAATGCAGATTTTGGATATGATTTTCAAAAATATATTTAATGTGATAGAAGAACAGTATAATTTGCATCCGATGCAGGGGACAGTCTATGTGCTGGCATTTAGAATCAATTTAAGAGGTTTGCTTCTGATTTACCTCTTTATATTTATTTCTTTTCTCTTCCACCAAAATGCCAAATTAGCATATTTGAAATGACAGTCCTGCAAATGCTGCAATTATTAGGAAACTTGGTGTGTCATCGTCACTCAGCCTGCAGGACAAAATCCTGAGACACATATGTTCCTCACAGCATTGTTTTTGTAACCCAATACTTATTGAATCCCCCCGATCTATTTTTAGGGGCGGTGGTTATCCGGATCATACAAAATTCATACAGGCTTCCATATATATGGAAATGTATACTGCTCACAAAGTGATGCAAGGTCAAACGGCAGTGACCTCTCTGTGCATTTGAAATGTCCATTGGCTTAAACCCCACAACCAACAGCAGCATAATGCTCTTAAGCTTCTTACTGTTGACATTAGGAAATATTCCTTTTCTTGCCAAACGCAAGATGAGTCTATCAATATCAATCTCATGTCTGTAAGATAAATAGCCCAGCTGTGTTCAAAGGTAACAACATATATTGCTTCATATTTGAACATGAGAGTGGCATCACTCTTCTAATATGTTCTCTTTCACTTATTTACTTCTTGGCAAGAAAGGGAAAAAATGTGCCTTTCCTAAAATGTCAAATTACTAATGACCAAAAACGCTTCCTTTTTTTAAACAATATGGAAGTCAGATTGAATCATTCACACATGACTAAAACATGGAAAACATATAATGTTAATTGGGCTTCCTGAAAAAACAACAAACTGGGAGTGTTTAGATGTTGCAACACATATTGTGTCTAATCCCCAATTTTGCATTTCCATTTTCATTGCAAAAACGTACCGAGCTTTGCACACAAAGTGAAATAGAGTAAATGTATTTAGTTGTTGTCTGTGAAACTTGTAATATTATTACATTAGTGAACAATTGTTGCTTTAGTTTAGAATTGACTTTGTCACGTTCATTATGGCCATTAAACTTGTTCGCAAATTAATTACCGTATTAAAAATTAATGTTTAGTCATTCTACAAAGGGTACTCTCTCATACAATGTAAGTTATTAATGCTGATTAAGAAAACACTCCTGAATATCATTATTATTGTGCGCAGAGCAGAACAAATGTTACCACAGCAAAGAAATACATTTCGAGGTGGAAATAAATCTTGTCTTTTCTCTTTGCCTCATCTGATTTTCAAAAACATGCACTTCACCTAAACTAAAGTGTTTTACATGATAAAATCAATATTCAATCAAAAAGGGAAATACACAGGGCAAATAACTATACTTTTTCAATGTCAACAATGAAGTATAAAGTGCACCCATGCACAGTGTACCACATCTCCCAGCCTCGCTCCTCTGAGAACATACCATTCTTGCTCTAATAAAGACTCCAGAGACCTCTGACAGCTAAAGGATCGTCAGTGATGTTACTTTGAATGCCGTCCTTGTGCAAACTAAACCATCCTGATTACTGCGGGGACGCTGTGTGCTTGTTCCTATCACAGTTAGTCTCTACAGACGTTAAAATATAAAGTCCTTCTGAAAGTTAAAGCAGCATGGGTAATGATGATAGACCCTCTTAGGGAGAGTTCCACTCAAGTTATATATTCCCTTAACAATGTTTGATATTCAAAGAGAGCACGAGTTCTGTCGTTTTTGTCAAGCTGCTCCCTTTCTTCTACCTTTTCTTTCTCTCTTTCGTTGTGAGTCTTGGCTTTTTAACCAATTCTGATGGAGCATCTCCATAAAGATAGTGTTGGTGCCCTCCTTGTTATCTTATATGCGAGGTAATTAGGGTCTAAAATCTCGGGCTGCTTTGGAAATTGACAAAACTAATAGCGGGAAGAATGGCTTAGCATCTTGTCGAGTCAGGATGGCCACAGGCGACCATTAAATGCAATCATGGCCGCATAGCAGCAAATAAATGAAACACAGAAACTGTGATGATGGCAGCAGCTGCACAGTGCCGCCAAGAGCCATTCATCAATACACAAAGGAAAGCTGGTTACTGAATATTTATTCCCTACATCATAAAGGCTTGAATATAATTGCTCCATCAGAATTGAGGACTTTCACCGCCTTTGATGCGGGTGTTCAATCAGTGCCAATGTCAATGGAAACAATCAATTCCTCAGTGTACATTGACCAAGACAGCTGAGTTTGCATCTGCGTATACTGTACTTACTGCATCAGTTACACCAGACAGCTATGAGTATTGATGCAAGGAGGACATATATTTCAGAGCCAGGAGAAGATGGGGATGTAGGGCGTTCATGACAAGATATGAGTTTTAAGGACTAGGAGGCCTTTTGGCTGACTCGGTGAACAAATATTTGGCAAAAGAAACATGTTGGAAAGAGGCTGAGGCGGTAAGCAGGAGAGCTCCGATCTCTTGGTCAATATTGCAGGCACTTTATTGCTTCCATTCACATTTACCTTTAACACTGAATGAACATCCACTGAAAAGGAAGCAGATTTTCCCTTTAAAATCTACATTTCCTGAGAGCATACTTATTTTCTGGCAGTTATGCATTAAACAGCCTTCACAGTCTCTGGCGTAATGAGCGGTTTGGTTGTTATGTGGGTGCTGCATTGCCGGTTACTCACCTTAAAGGTGCCAACTCTAATACAATTCCTTGTAAATCAAAGCAGTGCCATTATGCACTGGAGACTGGCATATTTGTGTTATTTTGCTTTTCTAAGGAGATTCTAAAGCTTTGAAAACACAGAGAGCATTGCCCCGCTGCTTAAAGGTGATCAGTGAGATACCTGAGGAGCGGATATGCTGTGTGTCCTCCACCTCTCCTCTTCTTGTTAGCATCAACAATTAATTACCCAGGATGAGGTATTGATTAAAGGCTTGAATCTTAAAGCGAAAAGGCTATTGGCGTGTTAGCTTATTAAACTGCTGTTCTTCTTTCAATCCTCTCTTTTGGCCAAAACAAAGAATCTTCAAACCGTCACTGAAAACAATGAATCCATCTTTTTTGAGCAGATATTTCTGTGTACACCTGCTAAAAGAGCAGCAGTAATCTCACTTTCAGCTGCTGCTACTTCGCTACTGTTGCACTCTCTCTGTGTTAGGAATAATCTTCTTTTCACAGTCTCTGTCAGCCTCCTCTGAGAATGTAGGAAATGTCACAGGGCAGCATAAATAAGACATGAGAACCGGCTGTTGCTGACCACCTCAACTTCCCTTACCAAGCTTAAGAGGGCACTGTTACAAGCTTATCCTGTTGCTACAATTAAGAGGAAAGGCGCAGGATGACAGCGACAGAGTGAAGGTGCAGGGCTTTAGCTTAACATTTATATGCGAGGTAATCATTCCTGTCATATTTCCTTCTCATTGCGTCAGTAGATGTTGTCCAGCACAGCCCCCCTGTTCCCAAAGGAAGGCAGTGAGATTCACTGTTTTGTTGCATGAATGCTCTTCCCTCATTCAGACATCCTTTTGACACTCTCCTCTCACATTGTCAAGGCTAAATGGAATCTTGGCAAGTGCCAAATAGCTCAATTTTGATGCTAAACAAACCCTTTTGTCCATGTAAATGACAGTTTGCTCCGTCTGTGTATTGTATAGGCGCACATACAGTATAGCTCATTTAGACCGGAGAACCATGTGCCGCCTTGCTCCATTACTTTTCCCATTGAATGCTATCAAATTGACCCGAACAATATGGTACAGAGTGGGTTTCTCTAAGATTGAACCTGCTTCAGAATTTCATTGCATTTTCTCACAGTGCAGTGGGTCTAGACAGGAAGGAGAGGCGACATACATCTGACAGCAGTCAGTGAAATGGGATTTGAGTCCTTGCTATAATAATACAGTGCCACAGTCATAATTGTCCTCAGAGTGAAGATGTTGGTCTCCTCGACTATCTATGTCTGTGACAGGAACTTCAAATTCATCTCTCGTTTTTTTGTGAAATGAGTTTTCTGCACTTAAAAGGCAGTCTGTTTTGTCCCTTGACAATACAAAAGGTGTTGAACATGCTTTTCCAAGAACTGTTTACTTTCTCTTTAAAACCTGCCTAGAGAATATTCAAATGTTTATTACCAGAGTCCTCTCAAGCTTTGGTTTTTCTAGCCCAACTGGATGACCTTAAAGTACTGAAAAATTATGCAGGGGAAATAGCTTGGAGTAGCTAATGTTTATCCATAAATATTCATTCTCCACACAGCGCAGTCCTGAGCATGCTTATCCTCCTGCTCTCCCCCAGTGAGCGGCACAGAAAGGACTGGGATGAACTCTGTCTCTTTTTCTGATGGTGTGCGGGGGAACTCTCGATTTCCCCTGACAGAGTGAGCTCTAAGGGGGCTGGAAGGAATGAAGAAGGTTCCCTGATGTCTTTTTAAAGGCCAATTGCTCAAAATATTCTCCCTTTTTGCACCCTTGTGCCTGAACATTAACTCCTTCTTCAGTACTTGTGTTGCCCTATATGATATGTGTGTGTATATTTGTGTGTTTGTATAGGTGACATAGTGTCCCGGGCCATGCACTACCTACAGCCGCTGTACATGAAGAACCCCAACAATGGGACGCCGATCCACCAGAAGAGCGGAGTGATCTACTGGGCGCCCGAGGCCATCTACACACTGTGTTACTTCATGCACTGCCCTCAGATGGAGTGGGAGAACCCCAACGTTGAGCCTTCGAAGGTCACCTTACAGACAGAGAGGTGAGAAAGAAATCACTCAGCATCAAACTATGTATTATTCCATGACAGAAAATAGTCCCCAACAACTGTACCACTTACTGTTGTTTGGCCAATGTTTTTCTAAAACCTTTAGTGGCCAGCTGTTTTTTGATATTATAAAACATTTGTACTAGATAAGAAACAGTACCGAAGGAGTGGCAGACCGGGGTGGTGGTTCCCCTTTTTAAACAGGTGGATCAGAGGGTGTGTGCCAATTACTGAGGCATCACACTACTCAGCCTCCCCGGGAAAGTTTACTCTAAGGTACTCGAAAGGAGGGTCAGGCCGATTGTCGAACCTCAGATTGAGGAGGAACAATGCGGATTCCGTCCTGGTCGTGGAACGACGGATCAGCTTTTTACTCTCGCAAGGATCCTGGAGGGGGCCTGGGAGTACGCTTATCCGGTCTACATGTGTTTTGTAGACTTGGAGAAGGCGTATGACCGAGTTCCCAGGGAGTTACTGTGGGAGGTGCTGCGGGAGTATGGGGTGAGGGGGTCTCTACTCAGGGCCATCCAATCTCTGTACTCCCAAAGCGAGAGCTGTGTCCGGGTCCTCGGTAGTAAGTCGGACCCATTTCCGGTGAGGGTTGGCCTCCGCCAGGGCTGCGCTTTGTCACCAATCCTGTTTGTAATATACATGGATCGGATTTCGAGGCGTAGTCATGGGGGAGGGGGTCTGCAGTTCGGTGGACTAAGGATTGCACCACTGCTTTTTGCAGATGATGTGGTTCTAATGGCTTCATCGGTCTGCGACCTTCAGCACTCACTGGATCGGTTCGCAACCGAGTGTGAAGCGGCTGGGATGAGGATCAGCACCTCCAAATCTGAGGCCATGGTTCTCAGCAGGAAACCGATGGACTGTCCACTCCAAGTAGGGAATGAGTCCTTACCCCAAGTGAAGGAGTTCAAGTATCTCGGGGTCTTGTTCTCGAGTGAGGGAACAATGGAGCGTGAGATGGGCCGGAGAATCGGAGCAGCGGGAGCGGTACTGCAGTCGCTTTACCGCACCGTTGTGACGAAAAGGGAGCTGAGCCAGAAGGCAAAGCTCTCTGTCTACCAGGCCATTTTCGTTCCTACCCTCACCTATGGTCATGAAGGATGGGTCATGACCGAAAGAACGAGATCGCGGATACAAGCGGCCGAGATGGGTTTTCTCCGCAGGGTGGCTGGTGTCTCCCTTAGAGATAAGGTGAGAAGTTCGGTCATCGGGGAGGGACTCGGAGTTGAGCCGCTCCTCCTTCGCGTCGAAAGGAGCCAGTTGAGGTGGTTCGGGCACCTAGTTAGGATGCCACCTGGGCGCCTCCAGGGAGGTGTTCCAGGCACGTCCAGCTGGGAAGAGACCAAGGGGTAGACCTAGGACCAGGTGGAGGGATTATATATCTTCGCTGGCCTGGGAGCGCCTTGGGATCCCCCAGTCAGAGCTGGTTGATGTCGCCAGGGAAAAGAAAGTTTGGGGCTCTCTGCTGGAACTGCTACCCCCGCGACCCGACCACGGATAAGCGGGAGAAGATGGATGGATGGATGGATGTACTAGATAAGGAAATAGAAGGGTGTAATCCATTGTTAGTTCTGCTAATGTGTGGTTAACAATAACATTTGAATAACACCAGCCATTACACCTCTTGATTCGACCAATATTGTTTAGAATGAATGGCTGAAAGCAACAAATACTCTCATGCTCACAAACTGAAATGAGTGTCATCACATTAATCGTAAAATGTTCTTATCACACACAATTTCTACACAGAGTTGCTTCAAAGCAGCCATACGCAATATTTGTATACATTGAAAAAGTATCACATGAATATTTCCAGGTGAACAATTGTGTTTGAAAGGATGAACCCATAAAGAATTGTTGCCTTAATCCTCATTTGTCTTCAGATCTACAGAGCGTTTAGCGTCTTTTAGCTTTGTTTTGGTTCACTGCCATCAGACAAAGCAGTCAGATGTTTTCAATAAATAAGCTTCCAAAAACCAACTGTACAGTACCTGTTCGGCACTAAAGGGACTAGCTGACAAACACAGTAGAGAATTTAGCAGCTAATGATATTGTTTTTTCTCCGAAGTTCATTGAGTAATAGCTACAAAAATAATTAATATTTAACTTACATTGATACCAGGCCGTTATTTAACAAAGAGCACTAACAACTGACAGAACTATATAACATGTATTCTCACTATAGAGCCAAAAGCAAGGTAGATAAAACATGTAACAGGAACACCTCATGAAGAAGAAATATAAAACAATATGCTGTTCAGTTATAGAATATGTTAGATGTGCTGGAATTGGAAGAGAAATATATTTGTCAGTTGTTTAGTATCTAGATGTTAACCTGCCATCATAATTAAGCCATGACTAGTGTTTGATACATTTAGGCTTTCTGAACCAGAGCAAGGCAAAGTAATGAAATCATCTGGTATTTTTCATTTCATTTTCATTTAATCGTTTATTTGAATCGGGACAGTGCACATTGATGAACACTTTAAAACAAAATAATGCTTAATACAAGTGTAAATGAGCCGGATTTTAGCTTTGAGCTTATTTCCATCCGTAGACCCGTCACAACATAAGAACATGACATTTATATACATAGCAAAAATAAATACATGATATCCAGGAAGAGCATGAGCAGCATACAAGTATTTACCACATGGCAGTACAATGTAGCAGCTACGACATATAAAGTGCAAGAGAAGATAAAAGTGCTACATAAAGTTCAAGGGTCAATACCCCTTTGTTAAAGTGCATTTAGCGGTGATTACACGTCTGTTTGTTTCTCAACCATTCTTTGAGTTGACCTTTAAAACTATTGAGAGTGGGACAATCCCGTATCTCAGTTGGGAGGCTATTCCACAATGAGCTGCCTTTAATGGAGAGGACATTTTGTCCAAAAGTGGTCCGTCTACGGTGGACTTGACAGTCTCCTCTGGTTTCTGACCTAGTGCAGCGTCCAGTGTGATTTTTGTGGATGAATTCCTCTAAGGGAGGGGGGGCCAGTCCATGTAAACATTTATAAAAAAAACACTAACTTTTAAAAGACTTAAAATTGTCAAAACTCGAGAAATTGTGTTTTTCAAGGATGGTACTGTAACAGTGGTGGTATGAATTTGGCTTTCAGTCAAACACCTCTTGTACAGCTGTTCAATCAGTTTCAAGTTTGTGGCACAAGCAAACGACCAGTTTGTCAAACAGTATTCAATGTGGGATAGAATCATAGAGTGGAGGTATGACTTTGCAGCATTGACAAAACATCGGAACCCTTCACCTCATGTTGTCCTGTGGGATTGTACCATTATTGCGCCTTCATTGTCCACCTTATTTAATCTACAATTTACACTCCTGCGTCACAGACACTATTCAGAGGTAATGTTCCTGCTCCTGTAACTGTAAACCTCTTCAGACTTTATTATATTTCTGGCTCTCTGTGCTAACCCCTGAAATGGCACACCAGATGTTTTCCTCTGGCAGGAAAGCACAGTTTTATCTCAGTGAATTGTCAACTTATTGGCTACTTTAGCGAGCCCTCAGGGTGACCTGAGCTGCGGCAGGAAGCGGCTGTTGAAGCCGGCGTCAGTATTTATAATTACCGTCAATGACATAGGGGGATATAATCAGCTGGCAGCTGTAGGACTGTGCTGGTTGCTTATACATAAACAACATAAGGCTTAGGCTATGTTTCCATAGTGTTAATTCCCCTGATCCTTCATCATGCAGTTTTTTGACACTTCATAGTCAGGAAAGAGAACAGTCCTCACAATCCTTGTAGTTTCTCCTTATGAAATGCCTTATTTTTCTTATTTTACTCATCACATCCTGCTGTAGTCCTCAGTATTTCCTGCAGTTTGGTGGAAACCCCTGTCAGCATGCGGCAGAGGTGGGAAACAGTACTGACAGTTGAGCCTGAGCAGTCCTCCTCTGGGGGCTCCAGGCTTTATCGCCTGCAGTGGAGCAAGTTATCAGCTATAATGTGTGTCCCAGGTCTGCTTTAGCTCTAATCACCATTTGTAGCAGAAATCACATTAATGAATGTTTGTTTTAGTTATATATAGGCACATTGCCAGAGCCAGGAAAGCCCTGAGAGGGGAAACAGCAAGACCTTGAACCATTTGTGATCTGCTGTTTTCCTATGAGGGAATGCATTGCCACTATACGTTCCCCGCCTCTTGATTGGGTGTTGTGTGCCGCTTTTAATGAATTCTGCACAGCCAATAAAGTCAAATGAGCTCTAGGTCAGGATCCTTTGAAATAAGATTTCTTAGCAGATCAAACAATTATTACAGTAACAGATCCTCCTCGGAGCAGCATTGATCAGTGAGTAATTAACAGTGAGTGACAGATGTGGGCCGACCATGTGTCAAGGACAGTCCAGGCATCCCGACATCAAGACATCAAGCGATGTACTGGACAGCAAATCCCACAGGATAAATTAGCTAAGATACTTATATGATTAAAAAGGATGCATTCTGCAAAATGAAAAAACCGATGAAACTGTCAGTTTTGACACGCCATATGTAAATCCAATCGTTTTAACTATGTGTTAAAACTTTCCTTGATTAAAATTGTCAGTAGCAACACCTGTTCCATCATAATACTTATCAGTGGTCGTGTTTTGCATTAATGACAGCTCATTGTTGACGTGAACAAAGTGTGTATTTATAGCCATGGCATGCTGTCAGAACAGTATGAAGGTCATAGTGTAACATCATGTATACAGTATGTATCCTCATGCATGCTGATGTAGCTGCAGTAAACACACTGACGCAGGATGAGTGGAGGAGAGAGGTAGACAGGAAGAGAAGTTTTTTCAAAAAAGTAGGCCCTGCACGTTTCCCATTGAGTTATTTTCTCTCAATGAGACTGTGGTTGGGTTTTCTCCGCATCACACCTTCTCAAGCTGCTCACTGTTAGCTCTGGGGTCAGGATCAACGGTGCGATTGTCAATTCCTGCCCTATTTAATCCTTGCATCGCAGTGGGTTTGAAAAACACACCCTTACTTCTATAAGCAGATACTGAGCTGATGTTCACATGCATAACCATGCTCTGTTTACAGAGAGCGGCATGATGTTCACCATTACAACGTCATGCCAAACAGATTAAGAGGGGAGCAATTACTCCCCCTGTAAAGTGTTCACATGACACTTGTAATTCCTTATGATTGCTACAACATCACAAGGCATTTTAAGTCATATAGAAATGCATTATACATATTCTGAAATGCATAAGTGGAGTTCTATATTGCATATTTAGTTTAACACTAAGCCTTTCAAACATGATCACAGTATGATATCATTGCACTGTCAAGCTTCAGGTCTCTAGAATAGAGCAGAATAGATTGTGAAGAGATATAGTTTGGACAAATCTCTGTAGTTGACACTGACTGTATAAAACAGAATTTGTATTTGAATATATGATCTTGCATCAAAGTGTTTCTGCATGACATATCAGTTTGGGGTATTTGATTTCATCTTCTAGACATCCTGTTTTCAAACATCAGCTACAGCTAGCAAGATCACTAAAATTACATATGCACATTTCTATAAGATGGATTTTCCTAGCAAGTTCCTTCCTTTCAAGTACTGGGTTTGCCTTAAGTCCAGTGTGTGGTCATGATCATGTGCCTCCATCCCCCCCTACAGGCCGTTCTTGGTGCTGCCGCCCCTGATGGAGTGGGTGCGCGTGGCAGCGGTTCACACGGAGCACAGACGCAGCTTCTCTGTGGACAGCGACGATGTTCGGCAGGCTGCCCGCCTCCTGCTGCCCGGAGTGGACTGTGAGCCGCGCCAACTCCGGTACGGCGATGAAAAACCACTTTCTTCCCCCACACATAAAAAACACAAGCAAGCACATTATCTGGACTTGCAAACTCACACATCAGTCATATGCGCATCCTCCCTGTAGTGTTTAAAAATAAAGCCTTTCAGGTGGAAAATATGGTACACTGTAAGCAAACACTGTGAATCACTTGGTGTACTTTGCCCTTCAGAACGGATGACTGCTTCTGTGCCTCGAGGAAACTGGACGCTGCCTCTACTGAAGCGAAGTTCCTGCAGGATTTGGGCTTCCGTATGCTCAGCTGTGGACGCACAGACTTGGTGAAGCAGGCTGTCAACTTGCTGGGGCCTGATGGTATCAACAGCATGAGTGAGCAGGTCAGAGACAACATATTAAATAATGCATGCTCATTTGCACTGATGCACACACACACACACACACACACACACACACCACACACACACACACACACACACACACACACACACACACACACACACACACACACACACACACACACACCACACACACACACACACACACACACACACACACATACACACACACACGTTAGTAATTCTCAACGTTTCTCTTAATTGTGTTCTCCTGTACTTCTTGTGCATAATTATCTTGAGTCTGGAAATGGTTCCTTGAAAGCCGGCATATTGCACACCACTGTGTTCAATTTCCACCTCTGTAAACTCACCTTGGCTGTAGGCACATCATTCAGGAAAATGTCAATAAAGCTGATCACACTGCAAGAAAGGAAGCCGGAGGCTGAAAAGAGCAGGGGAGACGTCACGCTGCTGATGGCAATCAGCACCTCCACCTGAGAGACACCCAGAGAAGGGGAAACAGGAACTCAGAAAAGTTTGTCAAGAAAATAAAACACCATAAATAGAAATATAGAAAGGCAAGGCTATACAGGTGTTACATTCATTCATTTACTTTATAGAAGTGTCCAACGTCAGTTAGAGACACCAAGATTGGTGTCACATGAGACATTTTTGAGGACCTGATCAGATTTTAGCAGCAACATTTTTGGGCACTTGTAAGGGATTTAAGGATGTTTTGCTGTGGCAGGTAAGGACAGAGTTTCAGTCATTGATACAGCCTCATCTCAGCTTGAGACACAATCTGTCTGAGTTTTCCTATGTTTCTCAGCTGGAAAAACAGGAAATGAATCAAACATAAGTGACTGTGCCTGGTCAAGTGACACCTCAATGTTCTGGGGTTGATGTAACAGAAGAGGAAAGAGAACCCATAATTGCCTGAAACAAACCGTAGCAAAAACTAGAGCTTTTGTTTTGGCTATAGGACATGATGTGCCATCCAAAGTTTAGACATTTTATACAGCTAATTTTGTTACATTTGGAGGCTAAAATAAGAATTAGAATTGAATATCATTGAAGTTGCAATAGGAGATACTTTAGAAGTGAAGGGGAAGCAGGAGAGGGGCAAGACCAGAGCCCTGGGGCACACCATAATACAGTTTCAGATAAAGACACTGACTTAACTAACTGCAACTGATACACACCTATCAGAGGGGTATGACGAGAACCATTTCAAGGCTGACCAAGAGTTACACTCCCAAATATGTCAATAAGGATACTGTGTTGTCTAATGTGACAAACTCTAAACTGGGATTCATCAGTACCAAAACAGAGAACTCTCCTGCATCACCATGCATCCAAATATCAAGAGGCCATACTACCTCCCTCTGAGGTCAGAGTCATTAAATAGATCAGTGTTTGTATTCTAACAAAGACTAACAGCTCAAAGTATATTATGCCGATCTCATCTAGCCTTTAAAATATATGAACCCTTATTTAATGTAGTAAACAGTCTCAAGACTGGGACTTGATTGATTGATTGATTGAAAAGTTTATTAACAGCTTGTATATTGGGTACAGTACAGTACAGCTCAAAACATACAATTGTTAAGAGGATGCAGACCAGAGAAAGACTTTCGTCTTGTTTACATCAGGGTCCCCCATTTCCAATTCATCATGTCATTTAAGACATATAAGACATATTTGACATACAGATGGCTTATTTACAATTTACATACAGGTGGTTTTTTTACATACAGATTGCTTGTTTACAATTTTCATTTTAGATTTCGTTCTAATACATCCTAACCGGACATTTAAGACATACCAAGTCTACAGATATACAGTTAGTAACAGAGTCTAAAATGCGAGTATATACATAGATGGGGGGGGGGGGAAGCTGTCCATTGAACGACAGGTTGAGATTTTTACCATTACCCGGGCCAGTTTTGCAATGCTCTCCCCCGAAGGTGCTCTTAAGAGAGGTTTTGAAGGTAAGTATAGTTTTACTTTCCTTTACAGTTGTGGGAAGAGCGTTCCACCTTGATGTGGCATAATTGCGAAACGTGTATTCCCCCTTTTTTGTGCCAAATCTGGGTTTCACATGATTTGTGGAGCTCCCTCTGGTGTTATGATCATGGTATTCCTTGACCTTTGGGAAGAATTTTGACATGTACATGGGTACCATAGAGGTGTAGTGGATCTTGTAGACCAGGCCCATTGCAAGTAGCTGTACTCTGTCGTCTACTCTAAGCCATCCTAGGTTGTCAAAGTGGGCAGAGGTGAGGTGGGTTCTAGATGAAAGGTCAAGCAGTAGTCTGACCAGTTTATTTTGCGATGTTTGAAGTTTTATTTTTAGCGCCTTGGAGGTGCTATGGTACCATGACGTGCAAGCATATCATAGTACCCTTGAATGAGTGCTCCTGCCAGAGTTTTCAGGGTGTTTTTGTTTACCAGAGAGGAGATCCGGTATAGGAATCTAGTTCTTTGATTGACTTTTTTTATTACATTGGATGCCATTTTGTCACAGGAGAGGTTTGCCTCAAGAATAGATCCTAGGTATGTAATTTCCTTCTTACTTGTGACAATAATGTCGCCCACTGCAACTGAGAAGTCGTCGGATTTGCTGAGATTATGTTTCGAACCGAAGAGAATGGACTCTGTTTTACCCAGGTGTAATGATAATTTATTATCGGCGAGCCAGGTGCAGATTCTGCCGAGCTCGGAGCTGAGGGTTTTTTCAACCTGCAACCTGTTCCTGTCAGAGACCAGCAGGGCTGAGTCGTCCGCGAACAGGAACAAGTTGCAGTCACATGCTGATGACATGTCATTTACATAAATTAGGAACAGTAACGGACCTAATATGCTTCCTTGTGGAACACCACAGCTCACTGGGGGGGGGGGGGACAGAGTACCGTTTACCTCCACCATCTGTTCTCTCCCCTCCAGGTAGGATTGCATCCAGCTCACCGATAGTTTATCAAAACCAATTGCTTTTAGCTTGTCAATCAGAATGGGGTGATTGACAGTGTCGAAAGCCTTTTGTAGGTCCAGCATCACCATGCCGCAGTACTTGCCCTCGTCCACCTCTTGTTTGATGTGGTCGCTCAAATAAAGAAGGCATGTGTCAGTGGAGTGGGATGTTCTAAAGCCAGATTGAAATTCATAGATTAGTTTCTTTTCCGCGAGGTACTTTTCGACCTGTTCATATACTATTTTTTCCATGACTTTCGAGATGGAGGTAAGTATAGAAACAGGGCGGTAGTTGCCTGGGTCCAATTTGCTGCCCTTTTTGTGCAGGGGGGTTACTCTTGCAATTTTGAAGTCTTTGGGTACTTTTCCCTGTTTTATGGAGAGGTTAATTATGTGAGCTATGACTGGTGAGATGGCGGTTGCTGTGTCTCTGAGGAATTTGGAGGGGATATTGTCGTGGCCAGTGGCCTTGTTAGGTTGGAGGGCGCTCAGTTTAATGAGTACCTCTGCTGTTGTTACCCTTGCTAGACTGAAATCATCTTTGCGTACCCCTAGGTTTTTGTAGTAGGTCATGATGTGATCTACTCCAAAAAGCCCTGAGTGGGAGGGTAATTTATTTACAAGAGTTGTGGCTATGTTTGTGAAAAAAATGTTCAAGTACTTGGCCACATCCAGTTTGTCTGTGATGAGCCTGTTATCTGTCTTTATGTTTAAGTTAGAAAATCTCGTTTTGAGTTTTTTACTGCAGCCAAGCTGGTTATTGAGTAATTTCCAAAGTTCACGGGGTTTATTTTTGTTTTCCTCAGTTTTGACATTGATGAAATTCTTTTTGGAAGTTTTGATCATGGAGCTTACGTCATTTCTTAGTCTGTTTCTTTCAATTTTGAGTTCAGTCACGTGGGCCTGGAGTTCACTGCTCGTGCTTTTGGAAAGCATTGACTGACTTTTATGAAACTCAGAGCATTTTTTGTCTCTGGTTTTCATGGCGGTCAGTATGCCGGAGTGCATCCATGGCTCAGCGCGATTTTTTACCCTGGTTGTTCTTAGGGGGGGCCAAATCATTGAGTATTGCAGAGAATTTGTTTTTGAAACCAAGCCATGTTTCTTCAACTTGTGTACCACTGAGCTCATCTGACCAGTCCAGGCTCTCCAGTTCTAGGTTAAAGGCCTCGCTAGAGTAGTTTTTGAGGTCTCAAACAACTAGCGTATTCTTTTGTACTCACCAGACATTTGTTGGGGTATTCTGACACGACATGACTGGCAATAGCACTTGGAAAACACTGCAAAGGATTAAAAATAAGACAAAGTTATGTGATAGGTTGATATTGATGGCATTGAAAAGGTTATGATTAAGTGTATGTTTTAGTAGGAAAAACTTACAGCAACAAGAATCCAGAAAAACACACACACACACACAGCCTGTGGATCAGAGCATTCTGTTTGCATGGCTTCTTCATCTTTACATTTTCTGCGCAAATGCAGTCATGAATATTAAACCTCATTCTGACAGCATTTTCCCGCAGCCTTCCTGCCAAGGTGCTCTGCATTACATCAAGACCGGCCCCACCAGAGTATAAAGTTTGGTTCGGCACCTTTCTGTGCTGTAAACCCTGGCCCAGAGGAGATATTGATACAGTATAGTGTCCTTTAAAACAATCAATAGAAAAAGATTACTCTCATAAGACTCAAGGTGCCTGGAGTGGAACTGTCAAGGATACAAGTTAATAGCAAAGGTTTAGTGGTGCTTTGTAATACTTTAGGTAAAATCGGTTTAAAGGGGACTTTGGTATTTGTCAACCTGGACCATATTTTCCCTTGTGTTTGTGTCTGAGTGACTAATGTGGACACCATGTTCTTAATTGGTTCAGTATTGAGCGGGCTGCAATGTAATACTAGCCATTCCACATCTTCAATATGAGTTCACTAAAAGAGCTAGATTGTTATTATCAGTGTCTGACAACATTATTGAAATAACCCTGCAAAAGAATGTCACTTTATTCTTTACCATTTGCTTGATCCAGACTGTTTTCTTGATCCGGTACTAATTTCATTTAAACTTTACATTAGGTTGAAATATCTAAATCATACAAAAAGTCCAATGTGGGCACATGCAATTGTCTTGAACAATGTCTTTATGTACTATTTATAACATATAACTATATATATTACCTATTACATCTGTATTTATTTATATATGTCTAAACCCTGCACTTTATATTTGTTCTGTTCTGTAAGTTGATTGAAAACGAATGCAAACTGTATTTCGCTGTACTCGGTGCAATGACAATAAAGTTGAATCTAATCTAATCTGATGCCACTACCTGGGATATGATTATGCCAATTGGTGTTTAAAAATAAAACTGTTCAAACAATGTGATTTCCCTTGCTCTCTCTACCTGTGCTTGTGTAGGGGATGACCCCGCTGATGTACGCTTGTGTCCGTGGAGACGAGGCCATGGTGCAGATGCTGCTGGATGCGGGGGCTGATATTAACAGCGAGGTCAGTGCTAATTACGTTTGTAATGCTTTTCTGGTTTTCCACATAGGGTAGATCAAAGTCAAATGAAGGAAGGATTATCATTAAGAGTACACATTGCCTTCTAAGTTTCTAGTTTTTGATTAACCCAGTGTTTTTGAAATGTCATTTTAGTGGGAGACATCAGCAATGCTTAAATCAAGGACGTTACAACTTTTGAAATCTTCATAATGTTCCGTTATATGTTTATGTTAGTTCTTAAGTGGTTGTTTGTGAATACTGTATGTGTTGTATTGCATTGGAGAAAGCAATCATGTTGTCCTTCATCTCCCCTCGTTTGTTCTCCCTCATGTGTCATGCTGCTAAACAAACAAGAGCTGTAGATCATGAGGCAATAACGGCTCTGCCACATTAGAGAATATGTTGAAAACAGATGTAATATTACTTGTGCTATGAAACTCATTTGCATTTGATTGTGTGTAGCGTTAAACATGACACAGTCACAGTCAGGGAAAATAAGTGATAAAGATCGGCTTACTTAAAGCCAACTGAAGTCTGCGGAGAATTTCGATGACGTCCTTTGAATGTGCCGACTTCAGAGAGGAGTTCAGTTCAGGCCTCATGATCCTGGTTTTCCTTAGTCACCAACAACATGTCCCATCAGGCATTGTGTCAGTTGATTTGCAGTCCACTGCATTCATGACCTCTGGCCAAAGCACAAAGCACACGGTCTGCTGAAATAAAAAGACCTGCTTTCAAAATCTTTATAAGCATCTGGTTTTGAACCTAGTTACATTTTGAAAGTTAAAGACAGATGTTGCTTGGCTCAGATGTGTGCAAAGTGCAAACATGTTTGCATGCCTTGAATTGATTTTTGTTCTTTAAATTATCTTAAAGTGTAACACATTGGTAACCCTACATAAAGCAACTTGCTGTTCATAGTGTCATTTTATTAATTGAGTACAAATAAAAATGTTTACAGTAAAGAATCACAATGTATACAATGTCTTGTAAATACAGGGCACAGTAGTGAAAAGAATATCTTAAGTTTAGGGGAAATTATGTTAAAACACTGATATCCTGAATTTGCCTATAAAGTAATTTTGGGTTATTCAATTTCAGAACTACTAAATGCTAATATAAACAGGTGCAGTACCACCTGCCTTGTCTTCTTAAAATGAGATTCATGCTTATGAAATATCTCTCAAAACTGAAATGGAAGGGTTATTGAAAAATATATAAAATATATGCTTTAGGAATTAAGGCACCATAGTGTTGTTATATCAAAATTGAAGGAGGGTGGTACAAATGGCTTAAAGTACATTTATGAAGCACAGCAACTTACCTATAAGTAAACGTTAGCCTACTGAAAAAGTAATACAAGATTATGATTATGATTTTTAAAACAAACATCGTAGTTTGTGGAATTTGTTATGTTGTATTGCAGATGAAAAAACTTAAATGTTTTGTCTTCATTATTGTCTCATTTCATGTCACTCCTGCAAAAACAGCATTAAGAAAAAAATTCCTTTTGTGCTTCACTCATGTTTTTCATAGTTGTCATGCTGTCATTTGACTTATAGTTACTAATTTCACACTGACCAGAGAGATGATCCTCAGAGGGGTACGGTCAGTTCCCTATCAGATATGTGCGCTAGAGTGAAACTATTATTACCTGGAGTAACCAGACAGATCAATCAATCGTGTTCATTAGGAGGCGAACAAAGAGACAAGATGTCCCCTGCAGCCCCGGGGTTTCTCATTAATTGCTGTAGTTTCTCCCGTAGTGCTTCCTGCCACCCCGCCCCCTCCCTGCAGCTGCTTGTCTTATGCTCCGTAGGCCATTTAGAAGTGTTAATGACTTCGTATCTCTCTCCCCCACCTTTCTCACTCCTACCTTACCCAACCCACCTACCCGTGTCCCTTCCCCAGGTGCCAAACTCAGTGCACAAGCATCCCTCAGTCTTTCCCGAAACGCGGCAGGCGACGCCCCTCACTTTCGCTGTGTTACACGGACATGTGCCCGTGGTGCAGGTAGTGACGTCCTTCCTCACATGTGATTCTCTCATCATGACCTCTCGTTGTGCTTCAGCTCATGGTTGGTCATCGTTGTCATCAAAGCCTTTGGTGGTGATGATGATAATGGTTCTCCGCTACGAGTTTTCTCCTGTCTCTCTTTTGTTACCATTTGATTCTGTTTGTGTGATGTACAAATTGACCTTATCATCTTGAATGAGGGCATTTATCCAGTCAATGTTTGGGTCTGAACAAATGTGTCCTGTTAATTTCCCATTTTTGTGCAAATGGATTGCATTTAGCAAGTGGAAAGTGGAAACACAGCGGTCTAATTTGTTATCGAACTCATTTAACTAATTCAGTTTGGCCTCTGATCCATCTGGATTCTGAATCATTATATTCAAATAGAAAAAAACGTTTAAGCTTTGTGCCACTCCAATTTCATATCTGAGGACATCAGCTTAAAATAAAGAATGACATTAATAATATTAAATTCTGTGTAAACCATAAAGTGTATTGTTATTAAATATTATATTAAGTTGTCTGTATGGTAAATATGAAGTTGTAGCTTGTTAGCTTAGCCTAAATGTAGCATACAGACAGGAAACATTACATTACATTGCATTTAACTGACGCCGGAAACGGGGGTTAATGGATAGCTTATGCCTGTTCAAAGGTAAAGTAGTGCCTACCAGAACCTCTAAAGCTCAGCAATTAACATATTACTTGTTTGTTTAATCCCTTAAAATGTACTTAATCTAAAAGCAACTTTTAAGGCTGGCTGCCAGCTAGCTTAAAAATTAGGCTACTGTGAAGATGTGAGAGTGATAGCAGTTGTCTGACTCTCAGCAAGAAAGCAAATATTCTTCTTCGTTTCAATAGAGGAAGCATGCACATTTTTAGTATTTGAAGAACAACAGTTTAAAGTATTTGTTAAAAATTGAAGGTTGGCTGTAAATTAAATATCAACTTTCTAAACACATTATTTTGCATGACACAGTCACAGATGAGAGAAGCCTGACTTAAAATCAATCTCATTATAGCCAACTGACTTTCCCTCTGCTCCCCACCCCTCCTCTCTCCTGTACCTGTGTCTCCACTCTGTACCCTGCCGTGCCCCCACCTGGCCTCTGCAGCTGCTGCTGGATGCCAAAGCCAGTGTGGAGGGGTCCCTGCAGGACGGCATGGAGAACTACACAGAGACCCCGCTGCAGCTGGCTGCTGCTGCAGGTACAGACACAGTGTGATTCCTGTCCCCTGCCTCCTGTCCAACTGTATTGTAGCAAGCTGACAACACCAGCTGGCCACTTATGGCGCGTTTCCACTGCAGGCCTCGCTCGGTTTGGTTAGGCCTTATTACTCAGCTGTCTGATAACAACACCTGCCTGTCAGCGTTACCACTTCAGAGGCACCTGGGTGCTAGAGAAATAAAGACAAATACAGGCATGCGTGACATGTTTGCCTCACTTTCATTTCACTGGTTTAATTGTACTGTTTGTGTGTGAGCTCTGCCAATCTTTTTTGTCATGCTCAGGTAACTTTGAGCTTGTGAGTTTGCTGCTTGAGCGGGGGGCGGACCCCATGGTGGGAACCATGTACCGCAATGGCATCTCCACCGCGCCGCAGGGAGACTTGAACTCCTACAGTCTGGCAGCTGCCCATGGACACAGGTGGGCAACACACACACACAAACACATTCATGTTCCATCATGAATACACACTCCCGAGTGAATAAACAGAGGATATTCAAGAACACCGAACTGTATTTGGCATATAATCTTGTTTATGCTCAAAAACACAATCTCACCAGAGCATGTTCGGGACTAACACACAGAACAACCATCTTGAATGACTGACACATTTGAGCTGAATAACAGTATGGTCTCAATGTGCCATAATATACAGTGCTAAGACTAAACATTTACATATTTTTAAATAAAAGAACTTCCACTGCTTTGTCATATTCACATTCAACATGTTGCACAGACCTCTGTCTGTGTCAAGTCCAACATGTTAGTTTTCTACTTTCTGTTAATATTTATAAGCACGTTTGCTTAACAGTATTAAGTGATGCTTTGTTGCACAGTGATTTAATTCACACAGGTTTTTAATTTGTTCTTGTTCAGCTTAACTGCAATGCACTGCAGACTCTGCGTTATGCTAGCAATTAATTATTATTAATTGAATGTGTAGCGACTAATGTTTTTTCCTAAATGACGAATGAAATATTTGTATTTATATATATTTTAACATTCTGTATTTCTTTACTCTGAAATGCAGCTGACCTGTAAAATAGAGCCTTACCTAAGTTTTCCCCATGAGTTTTTGTACAAGTTTTCATAACATCTTGTACACATCACCAGTGTATTTAACTCTATTTGGCAGCAATTCACAGGTTACAAGGGTTGGGCTGCTATACTGTATATTATGAAGTGACAGTTAGCAAATAAAAAAACGGGCTTTTTAAGATGGATATGTGCATAAAATGCCTTTTGCCCCATGGATTTTGAGTCTATTAATTTGCACTAAGCATCTGTTTATCCAGCCATACATGTTAATTAAAACTGAGCTATATGAAGTAATAACAATCATAGCTGAGGCAGTTAATTATAGATTGCCGTGGCAAGTCCGTAATGACCATAACTCAGTCACATCATTTTTATTATAAGTTTGCATAATTATACAAATGCACCTGTTTGCCACTTGTGTTTGTATTGGCCTGGAGACTTGTGAAATAAAAAGCAATTCAAAATAGTCCTATAATCTGTAAGGATAAATTAATTAATTAATTAATTGTTTTTTGTGCTTTTGTCCTTCTAGAAATGTGTTTCGTAAGCTGCTGTCACATACAGAGAAAGGGAAAGGGGACGTCTTATCCTTGGAAGAGATCCTGGCAGAGGGTTCGGAGCTGGAAGCTAAAAGTCCGTCTCACATTGACCTGATCCGAACTGGGAAGGCCAAACTCAAAGCCCTGAAAGAAGCCATGTACCACAGTTCAGAACATGGGCATGTAGACATCACCATAGATATACGGAGCCTCGGTTAGTGTCTGCAAACACTCTTTAAAACAAGCATTCTTTTCGACATAATCATATTCTGTATGCAACATTTATACCTTCTTTTTGCATATTTGTGTGTGAATTTGGTTTTGTTTCACCCCTTTAATGAATTCCCAGGGGTTCCATGGACTTTACACACTTGGATGGAGTCTCTGCGAACGTGTTTCCATCAGCAACGCCGACCTCTGATCCAAGGTCTCCTCAAAGAGTTCAGCTGCATCGAGGAAGAGGAGTACACTGAGGAGCTCATCACGCATGGCTTGCCACTCATGTTCCAGATCCTTAGAGCCAGCAAGGTAGATTGCAATGCTGCTAATAACTTTGGCTTCATCCACCAAGCCTTCTGTTCAGATCTTGTTTCCAGAGAAAGGTCCTTAAAAGGGTCTCCAACAGATTAATGGCATATTAGATAAGAAGCTGTTTAATGATGAAAATGAGTGTCCTTTGAAATTGAAAGCAGGTGACCATTGATAGTAGTAGCAGGTAAATGCCCAGCCAATACCCATTATAGTCAGTACTCGAGTTGAGGGGGGATGGCATCCCCCCTGAAATAAAAATGGTCAAAATCATCCCCCTTCTAAAACTGCCATCCCCCCTTTCCATCTCTTATGTAATTTTATCAATGAACGTGGCACTGGTATTACTGCTATTTCAACATTAATTTTGCGCATTTTGAGTAAAATACTGTGAGCGAGGGAGCACGCACACACGCAATGACATTTTTACCAAGTCACTGACGCTATACTATGCGAGTACCCTAGAGGGCGCCAGAGCGCCGTGATGCGCCTGTTTGATCGATGTCAGAAGCGCAGGTAACGGTCATCACAATGGCCAAGCAACCAGGAGGACAACGCGATCTGAGGGACTTCATATTTAAAAATACAAAAAATAACATTTCAGGTAAGTCAAGAATCAGTAATCTTAGTCATTACTCACTACTTTAGTCACCAAAGGTGGAATCTATGGACATAAGCAGCAGTGGCGGATTTAGGATTGTAGGAGATCCGGGGTACAGTGATACCCCTGCCTGGGGGTGGACCGAACATCCTTTAGGGGGGTCATCGCCTCCTCTTGGGGGGTCCGGGGGCATGCTCCCCCGGGAAGATTTTCTTTTAAATATTGAAGTTGAAAGCATCAATCTGGTGCACTTTGATAGCAACATTAACCCTACCTTAATAACACCTTAAAGCAGACAAAAGGCACTGGAGAACACTCATTAACACCCTTTAATGAAGCAAACTAATGCCTTAACTCACTCAAATAGTCGTTTATTTATTAAGATGAAACGAATGTGCGTAGAGTTTTAAAGGATGCGGATAGTCTCACCTTGATTCTGGCGCATTGCTTATCGTTTTATAGATCTATTCTCATCCACCATCTTTGTTTGTGATGTAAAAAATGTGTAAGAGTCACGTTTCTGAATCAGACACTCTGAGTGGATGCAGTCACAGCCAATCGGAGTCTGATTCAGAGGGTTGCCTGTCAGTTCCGTTGTTATGTGTACTGAAACGAGAGCCGGTATAATTCCACAAGCGAAAACAAAATAAAAAATGGAATACGTTATTTTAGTGTCTTAAAAGTAGACTGAGGTATGAAGGGTTAACGTTACATCTTAGGATACTTTTTAGTCATGTTCTGTATACATACATACTAACATAAGGGTATACTTAGTGTGGTTACTCCATGTTTACTAGCTATAACATTAACGTTACATCACTCTTTTTCACTTTTTACTCAGTCAGCCAGAGTGCAGATATCACCATTAGATTCACAAACCTGAAACATCATCCATTTCTTGACTGCTGGTGATGACATTGTTGTCAGCTGCTGATACTGCTGATGCTGCAGCTTGTGGCGCCTGCTTCAATGACAATAACTTTCTAATATCCATAACTGTATAGGCTATTAGCTTAAAACTCGTCAGGCACTAGGAAGGATCACTTCTACTTCAGGGCAGGCTACGCAGTACGCAGGCTAATGTCCCGCAGCGGATGCCTCTCTGGTGGACTCCGGTACTGCACATTACTCCCGAGACGTTACATTTTTTATTTTTGTGACCATTCGGGGCTTTTCAGAAAACATCCGGGGCTTGAGCCCAAGTAGCCACCCCCTAGCGCCGCCACTGATAAGCAGCAATAACAACTTAGTTTGGAGTTTAGCTACGTTTTTCTCTCGTGTTAGCTAGCTGGTAAGACTCAAAACTGTTGATGAAATGATACCACCAGCCCCAGTAGAGCTGAAACCCCTCCTTCAAGCAGTGAACACTCTGGTCATCTCCACAGCTGAGTGTGAACGTGGGTTTAGTCAGATGAACATTTTAACCACAACTAGAAGCTCCCTAGAGGTAAAAAGCATGTCAGCCTTGCTTTTCATCAAGTGTGTTGGCCCTCCACTGAACAAGTTCAGACCAGAGGTATATGTCAAGACTTGGCTTCAAAGCCATTGCTTAGCTAACAATCCGAAAGCAAGAGCCAGAAAAATTGAGACCAAAAAGCATGATTATGAAAATCTTTGGAAACTTCTATGAGATGGGGGAGAGTGGAGTAGGCAGCCATTGACAACATTGGTCCTATTTTGTATTATCTGTATAATCTTTTAATATATTTTCATATTTTGTAAACAATTTCAATTTGCACTTAATGCCCTGTTAAAAAAAGTAACATTGGGAATGTTAACATACAATATTTGTATTTGAACTGCAATAAAATTATGACGGATCAATATTTTTCTAATTGTTTTCCTCAAATTTTTCATGAAGAATTTACATAATGATTTAATTAATTACCATACAAATGTAACCCTTTAGATACCAGTTTTGATCGTATACCAGTAACTGCTTTTTTGAAAAAATACACAATAATTCAATATTCTAAAAACTATTTTGACTTTATTATTAGTATAATCAGTTGATCCATCTGAATAATAAATGAGGGACTGTTAAGCTACAAGATCTGTACCATATACTTCCATTATAACCACATTTTTTTATCCCCTCCCCCCCTTTAAATTAAAGTGAAAAAAAGATTTTGCACTAATTGTCCTCTGCATTTGACCCTAAATGTTAGTGGTGCCATGGCAGCCGGGGACCGACTCTAATTCTGAGGTGCCTTGGTCAAGAGCAATGAAAGGAGTATCTGAACATCCATAACATGCATGTTGTTTTAGGAGTATAATAATGATCTTTATGCTGGTTGGTCTCCCACCCTCTGCGGGTTATCAGCACAAATTATGTCCCCATATGATAAAATCCACCATCCCCCCTGATTTCTTTTTACAACTTGAGTACTGATTATAGTGAATAAGGCTACTAAACAATCAAAAAAAAGTTGAGAGGATTAAGCCAAACAAATGCTACTAAATATATAGATATAAAATAAGCACCAAAGAAGATCCACGTGACACTTTTACGCATTTATTCTTATTTATTTTCTTAAAAATACCATTGTTTTGTAAAAGAATGAAATGACTTCTTCAAAAATATATAGAAATCCCAAAAAGAAAATGGTTATGTCAGAATCTTCATTAGAGAGGAGTTTCTTAGAGAGCGCCTTATTGAAGCCCATTGTTTCCTCAAAAGCTACATTTTGATCCTTTAAATGTCTTATTTTATGAATCTAACCTTTCAAACATTATCTCTCTTTGCTGAGTTAATGTCTTTTTGTATAAGACAGTCAGGTCTTCAGCTTCACAGAGAATGACAGACCTCCGGAGGCTTCCTCAATTTCAATAACCCAGAATGATAATGATTTATGACATGCCTCCTCGCTCCTCTCCGTTCCTTCTCATTAGATCAGGGCCCTGTCTCATTACCTAAGCTCATGATCCCCTTAGTGGGCCGTATTAGATTTAAAACAGCACATCATCCGGGCTGTCACCTCTGTTTGTTTTGCATCCTTTGCCTTGGCGTAGTTCTGCTGACGTCATTGCTGATATGATAAAAAAGACTGCAGTACATACATACACACACACGCACTTACATAAATAAAATACACAAGCAAACCTGCAGAGACTTGCTACGTGTGCAACCCCATGCCAGCAGTATTTCAAAAACACACACACACACACACACACACACACACAGACACACACACACACACACACACACACACACACACACACACACACACACACACACACACACACACACACACACACACACTCATCACACACTTATACACTCATCCTAGCCTTCAGTGGATTGTTGCAGCGTCAATCCCTGTCTCTGTCTTGGTTGATGAATGGGGGGACCAGTGACCCTGATCTCTATGAGGGGCCTCAGGGACCCCTGTCACTGTTTGCTCCACCATGAGGGCCTGAGACACGTAGGGTCTGTTCATATTTCATTGTCTGCTGGTTTTGGCTCACTGAAACCTCCATTCAACGATTGAGTTAAATATAGCAGGTTATATGATATATATATATCAAATATGCAATTTGCTTTTGAAACTGCTGTCATAAAGGTGGACTGCGGTTCACGTGATTTGTTTCTGAATAGATTAGTAATTTATTATATGATTAGGTAGTCAACACCTTTGCTAATATGACAAACATCAAGACAGTGCAACACGGGACATAGTAAGAACATTTTCTTTACAATTTCTACAGCAAGGAGGTCCAGTATGTCATCTGTCTTTCAGCCTTTTATCTCCCAAAGCTTTCGCCAACAAGCTTACATTGTAAACAATAAGACTCCCCCGGTGCCCCGAGCTCCCAGTCCTGGCAGCCAGCTAACTTAGCTGACGGCAGCAGTTAGAGCTTAGCGTGACATAAACAACAAGTAATGCTTTCTGTCAATCAGGACACCAAAGATAATCAAGACAGAGCTTGACATCAGAAGAAAATGTGTTTTCCTTCAAATATGATTCAGTTTCAATACACATTGATTTAGTTGTTTTTGTTTGATAGTGCCTTAAAGCCTTATGCATTTACAGGAGATCAAACCCCTCACCAAAGTTATATCTATTCTAGATGTGGATCTATACATTTTGTGTATTGCGAGTAAATGTTTGAAACAATTCAGTGCATTTGTGTCCCTGGTGGAACGGTTGGTTGTTAATAGCTGTTTGTTGGCGTCATGCTTCAGTGAGAGCAAGCAGCCTGACTGCACACGTGGGGGTTGTAGTGTCGCGCACCGCTGATACAGCTGAATGGCACTACCCCCCCCCCCTTCTCCTTTAGTTTGAGATCCCCACATACAAGAGGAAAGTTAGCTGTAAGTGGAAGAAGATCTCACTCCCCTGTCTTTCTCTTTCTCACACTCCTATAGTAGCTCTGCCTCTGATGGTGTCCCCCTTACAGTAATCTCTGAGGAATTGTGGGTGTGAAATATTCATCTGATCCGCTTTCAATGGTGTGAGGCAGCCCCGAGTATTTGGCCCATTGGGACCATTGCTTGAATAAGGTGAATGCTGAGCGTGATACAAGGCTGCAGAAGTTATTCCTCCCTCCCTGTGCTGATAATTGTGTTGAGGATGTTTGTGTAGGAGAGGAGCACTAAAGTTAGTACTTGTGTGTTGTTATATAACATGAACTCCTGGATATTGGCTGAGCAACGCCCGCTCAAGCAGCTCTCCTCCTCACCTGCTGATGTTTTGTTTCTCTGTCTGTGTTTTGTCAGAATGAGGTGATCAGCCAGCAGCTGTCTGCAATCTTCACCCAGTGTTACGGCCCTTACCCCATCCCCAAACTAGCAGAGATCAAGAGGAAGCAGACGTCACGCCTGGGTGAGGGCCGGCCTTTTCCATTCCGCTTATCTCATTGAGAAATCTATACTGTTTAACAATGTAAAGAATACAGCATTCAAACAGCACATGAGCACTTCTTTGATGTATTTTTGTTGAATTGCCGGTTGGAGTTAATGCAGGAAAATGGGAAGAGCACGCAATGCCATCTAGTGTTCAGAAACTAGAATAAAAAAGTGGCTTAAATGTGTCTAGAACTGTCAAGAAGGCTTGGTTGTACACCCCACTTTTTCTTTGATAATCAGAAAAGCATTGTTTTTCTTGCCACTTGGGTTTCAGATCCTCAATTCCTGAACAATAAAGAGATGTCAGATGTGACCTTTTTGGTGGAGGGGAAGCCTTTCTACGCCCACAAAGTCCTGCTCTTCACAGCTTCCGGCAGGTACAGTCACTTTGGATTCAGCTTTCAAATGCCCAAGTATTCTTCCATTTCTATAAAAACTCTGAAAATGTAACTGTAAGTTCTGATATGAAAAGATAAATGTATTCATACAGCAATGACCTAACAGTTGACATGCTGTGTTGATTTGTGGCTGTCAGTACTGTGCATTTCTTCCTGCTGATCCATAAACTCATTGTTCTTCCTGCCCTGGGGATCCTGACAGGACTTCCATTTCACACTCATGTCATGTTTCTTTGATGACAGTCAGTCCTGTCATCAATGGACTGTAGATCTGTCACTCACGTTGACTAAATGTCCCCAGAGAAAAAAATAACTAATTGAAACCAACCAATTACTGAACAGTAGTTCAAGGTTTATTTTGCTCACCTTATGCTACAAGCTACTATTAAGATGTATAAACATTTACCAAGTGTGAATAAAACACCAAATACTTGACTGTCTTTTTTTTTTTTCTCAAGGTTTAAAACTCTTCTTGCAAACAGACCTTGCGGTGAAAACACCTGCATTGAAATCAGCAATGTGAAATATCACATTTTTATGGTAAACTTTTAAATCACACTTGAACTTCACATTCACACTGCTTCCTTCATAAATTCCTACTCTATTCATCCTTGTATGAAAGCTTCAATATGTTTCCTTCTTTCAGCTGGTGATGCAGTATCTCTACTGCGGGGGGGGCCGACGCTCTGCACATCAGGAACACTGACATCATGGAGGTTAGGCTTGTTAGCACAGCGTTCACTGCAAAACTGTAGAATGTACTTTAATGTTACACTAAAAACCTTTGTACTGTGAATGTAGATGAATAATAATAATGAATAATGAATAAGATGTAGATCTCAAGTACCTATTACCTTACCTATTGATGTTGCACTGTTCAAAAAGCACAGTAGTATCCATGACGCTAAACTTGATGAGTTGATTGTGCTTTTTTTTCAGCTTCTGTCTGCAGCCAAGTTCTTCCAGCTGGAGGCTCTGCAGCGGCACTGTGAGATCATCTGCACCAAGAACATCAACACTGAAACCTGTGTGGAGATCTACAACCACACCAAGGTGCAAAAACTGAAAAGGATGAAAACACAAGCTGTGTTGTAAAACACGTTTAAGAGATGGTTGTTCCATTTGGGTTGTATGAGGTACTTACTGTATCTATAGTGTGTGTATTACAGCGGATTAACTGCTCCTGAAGAGGCAGCAGCAATATATTTTTTAGCTAAAAGAAAACAATATCAGTTTAAGTGTACGCTATATTTAGAATATTTTCCCCGCTGTGAGACAGCTCGTTCCAACAGGGAAGTGAAGCGTTTATATCTTTATATGCTCTCTTCAAAGCCACCAAACTCAATTGACAAAAAAACAATAACTTTACTTTGCAGAATCGTGGGGTTGCTGGTCTGCCGCTGCCATCATTGGTAAGTTTGTGTTATTCTGTAACTTTGTTGAGTCTGAACTAACCACAATAACACAAACTAACTAACCGATCTAGACAGCAGTAGACCAGCAACCCCGCGTTTCTACAAGGTGAAGTGATTGTATTTGTCAATGGAGTCTGGTCGCCCTGAGGAGAGCATGGATAACAGCGTCGGAAAGAAGAACTGTGAGGAAAAGCAATCTACATTTTCCAAATGCAGTGTAAACTTAAATTGCTATAGATTTTTGAACATAAAGAAAACATTATTTGCTGCTGCCCCCATCCATCGCTGTAAATGTTTGTGCTGTGACTACTGTCTGCTGCTTCAAGCTAGGGGAGTGCTGGTAATACGCTGATTTAAATATCTCATCCAACCCCACTTCTGTTTATCTCTTTAAGGTGTTATAGATGTCCGCTAATGGAACTATTGTTACTTTGTTCACAGTTTCTTGGCGCTCCAGACTTGGCGTCCTATATAGAGGGCTACTTCCTAAAGAACATGTTAATCCTGATCGAGTTGGAGCCATTCAAACAGCTGCTGTACGACACGCCTCCAGATAGCCCCGGCTCTGACATCCTGCAGGACCTGGAGAAAACCCTGGCCATCCGCATCCAGTCCATCCACCTGTCCTCCTCCAAGGGATCCATCGTCTGATCTCCTTCTGAACACAGGACCAGAGAATATTTAGCAGAGACATGACACTGTATTGACATGATAGAAAAAGATAAGACATTTATCTCTGTGAAGCTCATCAGTTGCTAATAAGCTTTTGTTATCATTACACAGATACTCTGTCTGTCTGCCTTGTTGATATCTATCAACTAGTATTGAAGTAACATACAATGACTGTCATAAGATAGCTGCCACAGTTTGCCAATAACATCCCATCCCTGTAACAATGTCCCTCATACAGCTAAGTAGAACAGTCTGTGTGTTACATGTTTAACTAAATGGATCAGGTGGTACTACGGAGACACAGAGGGAGAGCAACAATCAGCATCAGAATACAATGTTGAGATGATGAACAACCTCAGCGTAATGTGATAAGCCATCAGTGTATAACTTCCTGGCTCTGTGAGGAAGAACTGCTGTGAATACTTGCTTAAACTTGTGGACTTGTACAGAGTACTTATTTGTATATTTGTCAGTCACTTTGCATTATCTGTGCTGATTAGTCCTTAAAGCCAAACAAGACAAACAACTGACAAGAAGCTGTAATGTGACTGATGCAAAGAGGGACTTTCACCATGTGACTTTGGGCAACATGAGTGGGAAAGAGGACTTCCCCTGTGTAAATATTGTTCATAAGAAACAGAGCTATTGATAATGTAACTTAATGTGTATATATATATATATATATATCCACGGATGTTTTCTCATGTGTCTTACTGTTGGATATCGCTGTAAAAACAAGAAGCTCATCTTTTAAATATCTATGTTTAAATGTTGCATGTCAGAGGGATGACTGTGTTTCGTTCTTTTCTGTTTTGAGTATTACTTTGAAGAGCTGTTCCACGCCTAAACGACTGAAAGTAGAGTGAGGATCTTTTTGTCATCAGCATGGGTCACTAAATGTTATGGTCACATGGTGTCGTCATTTCTTTGTGTGAGAGGCTCCAGGCCTGTCTAGTCCTGAACTGGGAACATTGTTTTTCAGGGATTGTGAGATCACATGGCTTGTATACTGTGTGTGTGACTTGATATCTCTTTCCTCTATAAAGATTAATATAAAGGATACTATGAATCTGCTCATGGATTCTCCTGGTGCAGTCTCTGGCTCAAAACAGCAAGCGGACTGCTCTTATTCTGTTTGATGTCAAATTTGAATTTATTTTTCTCTCCACCACTAGAAGGTCATGGTTTAGCTTTTTTTGTTGTTGCACCAAACTGGAAACAATCCAACACTGTCTTAGATAGATATGCTGAAAATAAATCCTTATTCCCAGTTCACTCATTTATAGAGCCTGAAACATATTAACATAATAAAATGACATAAACTTTATAAACTCTTCACATAATGTCTAAACATAAGGTAAATAATTTAATTGGCAAGTTAAAACCAACAAAGTTAGCTTGCTTATGCTACAAAGACATGTTTCTATCGTGCAGGAATAATTATCTTTTTTTACAGGTATATGCCTTTTAACTTCATTAAGGACCGTGGTAAAAGTATTGGACTTCCCGAAGACAATTATTAAATCGGAGGAACTTACAAATGTAATTTTTGCAAAAGATATTTGTAATAAGTAAATATATAAGTCATAAACAAAAAATTCAGTCCATATTCTTTACTCATAATATTGAATTACCTGTTATTTTGTGCCAGTACACTAAAGAAACTGAAACGTTGACTTTATTTAAACGTATTATATCAACAGATATCACATAACTGTATTGGTTGAAATAATATTAAGTTTAAAAATATATATTAGGTTCAACTTAATATTATTGCTAAACTAATACAGTTGTGTGAAATGTGTTGACATAATACATTTCATTAAAATAAAGGTTTCAGTTTTTTCAGTGTAGCCTACGCTGTATGTTTCTAAAGTTTAAAGCAATTTCAGATGAGAGGTTGACAGAAGTTGAGGGGGGGGTGTCAGGGTCAGACAGAGAGAGACAGACTGACAGGTAGAAAGCAATTCAAAGCCGTAAAGAACAGACGCGGCCTTGTCCTCGACCGGCCCACTCTCCTGCAGAAAATAGTCAAAGCAGAGCAGTGAAACTCTACTGCTGTGTTAATGAAATGCTGCACTCATTCCTACATTATGCAGTTCTGTTTAAAGTAGACTCATATTGGCTTGAGATGATTCCATTAATAAGTGTTGCCCTTGGCTTTGTTTCACGCTGCTTGAAAAAACTCAAGTGCCAAACATGATATTAAAATTCATTTTTCTGCATGTGACTTAAATGTCAGATACAGAAGGACACGGTTTGTTTGACTAATATTTTCTAGTTGTTTATGAAATGCTAAACTCTTATAATCAAATTACTGGGAGAGAACAATCCGGTCCAGACAGGCTCTGTCATTTATTTATTTTACGTTGCCAGATATTGGATTGTGTCTCATCTAATCAGTGTTCATCCTCCGATCCTCCAGAAAACTGTTGTGTGTGCGTCGGCCAAAGAATTTGAATGGCTGAGGACAGGGTGACAGCAGTTGTTAAGGAGTCACCATGGTTACCGCTGCTCAGGAACAATGCTGAGCAGAGAATGCTGCGCTGTGAAAGACTGTTAGAAATCCTGAGGTGCACACATGCACATGCTTATACACTGAAACAATAAACACAATATGTTGTCATCCAGTAGAATTTACTCCTAAATAAGTAGTTAGGAGAAGCTTGTTTAAGCAGAAATGTTCCATTATCAGATTAGCTGTGTCAGGCAGGACAGCATGCCATTAAGCTGTGGAAATGTCTCTGTTGCCTCTTTTCTTAAGCGCTGCTGGGCATCTTAATTTACTGGTTTGTGCAGTGCAAGCAGAGTGCTAAGCAACAACAAGGGAAGTGGTGAGGGGAACTCCACAGGGGGACACTCTGAAGGCAACTGTTTGACACTGCTCACGGTTTATGTGATTTTTCCCTGTGCCTGCTTCATTTATCTTGCCATGAGCTGGAATTTGTATGTCTTTGTGTTGTTGCCCTGCACTCATTTCTGAGTGTATTGTTCCTTTTTGTGAGTGGGTTGATGTGCATGTGTATGTGCATGTGCAAGTGGGAGTGTAAAAGGGGTGTTTGCCCTGCTAACTCTGCCCCTGAGCGAGCCCCTTTCGTCCTCCCCTTGTTGTCATGCACAGGCGCTCTCCCTTTGGCACCAACCGGGCTGGCAGCACAAGAGCCATGTGTTCAGACTCCACGCTTTGAAGGGCTCAAACTACTTTTTCAGTACTGTTTCTGTGAAACGTCGTGTAAAGGGAGAGAGAGAGAGGGAGAATAGAGGAGGAGAGTTGGGGTTGAAAGAGAGTTTGAGGGAGAGAGATGGGGAGAGTAAGGAGTTGCAGACAAAAACAAGCTGTCTACCATGAGGAGGTTTGAGCTCAGTTGTTGAAGGATACTTTATTTTGGACAACTTTTCTGCAGGAGACTCAACAACAGGTGAATATGGAGGAAGCAATATGTGAAAACAGAGTTTGAAAAAGATGAAAATCAAATAAATGGTTTCTTCTTTGCTCAGGCAGGCCAAAAAGAGAGAGGGTGGTTGTGGAGACACTTTTAACAAGGCCCTAAACTCACACAGCTCTCACCATTTATTTCCCTTCTCTCAGAGGCTGTTATCCTCGCTGTGTGTTTCCCATCCCATAATTGAAGTCAGCCACCAGCTGTTTCAGTGATGCAGTCCGACGAGCTCTCAGCCAGAGAGGAGTTCACCTACAGCCACATGCCCACTCTGGAGAGGGGCGGTGGGGGGTCTCTGGGACGACGGAGCGACAGGGGAACGGATAGAAGGCCGGACAGGGGGGAGCGGTATAGGCCCGAGCGGGACAGCTACACGGTGGACGTGAGGGCCAGTGACCTGCAGCTGGCCCAGCCGGAGCCTCTAAAGCACCCCTGCTTCAGCTACAGGGCCTGGCTCTACAGCGTCCTCTTAGGGGTGAGAGGGGGGAGGGTCAGGGAGAGGTACACAGGAGGCACATCACAGGGTGCATTTATTCAGTCCATCACACACAAACGTTAAAGGTTGGGGTGATCTTTCATTCTGATGTATCCCAATCTAGACATTTTGAGTGGGATGGCAACAAGAAGTCTTGTGTTGTGCTTCCAAATTTAGGTGAGAACAATATGTCTCCAGTATGCAACTTCTAACCACTTACTTTAGCAAGTTTGTGAGCGGTGACTCTGAGGTAACAGAGAAGTAACCACAAACTGTTTACAAATGGTTATGTATGGGGCTGCTGGATGTTAATAGTTAACATGTCAGCATTATGTCTGTGTGCTTTGTGTTTGATCTGGTAAACAGTTCAGATTTATGAATGGCTAAATATGTGTGCTATGTTGTTTATGTGAGAGAATGTTAGTATTATGGTAGAGTTTTACCTTTTGAACGTATTTATGAGTGATCATATGTGTATTTGCATGCATGCCCACGTATGTGTCCTCAGGGCAGTCTCCTCATCACATCTGGTTTCTCTCTGTACATGGGAAATGTGTTTCCTGTTGCCATGGACTACCTGCGCTGTGCTGCCGGCTCTGTAAGTGACCGTAGCTCAATCACAGACACATTCATATCTGCTCTTACCTAATACATTCATACATATTGGTATGTAAAAAATGCAGGCAATATCATCCAATGGTTTTTATAAAATTGGTATCACTGGACCAATATAATATCTTACGCCTATCCATTTAATAATCCAACCATTATGAATATTCGATTTATTCATGTGACATTTTAATTCAAACTTTGGTATTGGACCAACAATTGTTGGACTTGTGTTGTGACAAATGTTGTGATCTTATATTGGTAAGATAGCTCTCAACCACTGGTCAAATGTTCTATTACCTAAGAGAAGTGCAAAAAAAATTACTTTTATAAATCCCAGAAATCTTCGGGTACTCACAAAATATCAGGACAAATTGAGGATTTGAAGAAAAATAATAGGTTATAATGCTTCCTGGGTGATGCCCATTGTTTAGATTATTGTCATGTCAAAATGCCAGTGACACATTAGTTAAATACATTAATTCAACAATTCATTTTTTTTGCTGTTCTCCAACAGGGCATCCCTGCAGCGATCGCCAGTTTTGCCATTGCCAAGAACAGACATGTAGCAGTGAGTAAACAAACCTTGGGCAAAGTACATAATTATGTTGTAATGGATTTGTAATGAAAATTCCTTGAAGCAATTGGCGCTTGATACTAATGAAGGTCTCATGTTTTTGTTTTTTTCAAGGTGTCAGATTTCCAGGTGGTCTACGTGTCAACATTTGCTGTAACGACCACCTGTCTGGTTTGGTTTGGATGTAAACTGGTCCTAAACCCTTCTGCTGTCAATGTAAATGCAACATAGTAATTTATTGGAAACTACACATCCAAGTTATCTTTATAATGAAAGCTTCTTTCTGTATTTCCTTTTTCAATCTTCCTATTGTGCTCTCCCTCCTGCCACGTTTATTCTCAGATCAACTTCAACCTCATCCTGATGATATTGCTGGAGGTGTTGATGGCCAGTACTGTCATCCTGTCAGCCCGCTCTGCAGAAGACTGCTGCTGCCACAGGAAGGTGTGTGTTTATGTGTGATAGTTGCTTTTATTTCCCCAGATGATGTGTCTCTCCTTCTACTCTCCCTCTGGCTTTGACTCATCCATCCTAACTCCACTCATCCCTACGTCCAACTTTTTAGCAGGTGACATATGACAGATCTGTGGTTCAGCCTCCTGCAGTGTTCCCTACTCGAATCCTGAAAGCATATTCTGTAAGTTCATTTCAGTTTTGTTGCATAAAGCTCTGTCTGGTGTCAATGCTTATCAATCCCTGAAGAATTTCTCTGGCAGGTGATCGAAGTAATTGTGGGAATTTCTGCTGTATTCGGAGGGATTATTGCACTCAACATGGATGCTTTGCTACCTGGACCCTACTTGTCTGTCACATTTTTCTGGATTCTTGTTGCTGTAAGTTTTTCCTACTAAAACATACACTTAATCATAACCTTTTCAATGCCATCAATATCAACCTATCACATAACTTTGTCTTGTTTTTAATCCTTTGCAGTGTTTTCCAAGTGCTATTGCCAGTCATGTCGTGTCAGAATACCCCAACAAATGTCTGGTGAGTACAAAAGAATACGCTAGTTGTTTGAGTCCCAGTCTTGAGACTGTTTACTACATTAAATAAGGGTTCATATATTTTAAAGGCTAGATGAGATCGGCATAATATACTTTGAGCTGTTAGTCTTTGTTAGAATACAAACACTGATCTATTTAATGACTCTGACCTCAGAGGGAGGTAGTATGGCCTCTTGATATTTGGATGCATGGTGATGCAGGAGAGTTCTCTGTTTTGGTACTGATGAATCCCAGTTTAGAGTTTGTCACATTAGACAACACAGTATCCTTATTGACATATTTGGGAGTGTAACTCTTGGTCAGCCTTGAAATGGTTCTCGTCATACCCCTCTGATAGGTGTGTATCAGTTGCAGTTAGTTAAGTCAGTGTCTTTATCTAAAACTGTATTATGGTGTGCCCCAGGGCTCTGTTCTTGCCCCTCTCCTGCTTCCCCTTCACTTCTAAAGTATCTCCTATTGCAACTTCAATGATATTCAATTCTAATTCTTATTTTAGCCTCCAAATGTAACAAAATTAGCTGTATAAAATGTCTAAACTTTGGATGGCACATCATGTCCTATAGCCAAAACAAAAGCTCTAGTTTTTGCTACGGTTTGTTTCAGGCAATTATGGGTTCTCTTTCCTCTTCTGTTACATCAACCCCAGAACATTGAGGTGTCACTTGACCAGGCACAGTCACTTATGTTTGATTCATTTCCTGTTTTTCCAGCTGAGAAACATAGGAAAACTCAGACAGATTGTGTCTCAAGCTGAGATGAGGCTGTATCAATGACTGAAACTCTGTCCTTACCTGCCACAGCAAAACATCCTTAAATCCCTTACAAGTGCCCAAAAATGTTGCTGCTAAAATCTGATCAGGTCCTCAAAAATGTCTCATGTGACACCAATCTTGGTGTCTCTAACTGACGTTGGACACTTCTATAAAGTAAATGAATGAATGTAACACCTGTATAGCCTTGCCTTTCTATATTTCTATTTATGGTGTTTAATTTTCTTGACAAACTTTTCTGAGTTCCTGTTTCCCCTTCTCTGGGTGTCTCTCAGGTGGAGGTGCTGATTGCCATCAGCAGCGTGACGTCTCCCCTGCTCTTTTCAGCCTCCGGCTTCCTTTCTTGCAGTGTGATCAGCTTTATTGACATTTTCCTGAATGATGTGCCTACAGCCAAGGTGAGTTTACAGAGGTGGAAATTGAACACAGTGGTGTGCAATATGCCGGCTTTCAAGGAACCATTTCCAGACGACTCAAGATAATTATGCACAAGAAGTACAGGAGAACACAATTAAGAGAAACGTTGAGAATTACTAACGTGTGTGTGTGTGTGTGTGTGTGTGTGTATGTGTGTGTATGTGTGTGTGTGTGTGTGTGTGTGTGTGTGTGTGTGTGTGTGTGTGTGTGTGGTGTGTGTGTGTGTGTGTGTGTGTGTGTGTGTGTGTGTGTGTGTGTGTGTGTGTGTGTGTGTGTGTGTGTGTGTGTGTGTTGTGTGTGTGTGTGTGTGTGTGTGTGTGTGTGTGGTCCAGCAATCCTACGACATCCTGCTGCTGATTCTGATGGTGCTGCTGCTGGTGCAGGCAATTCTTACTTCAGCCACTGTGGTGCACTGTGCCTCCTACAAGAGTAAGCTCCGCATGGGGGCTCCAGAGTGCAACGACAGCATGCACACCACAACCCATTACTATGAGGTAAGATTGGGAAAAGCAGTGATTGTGTAGAGATGGACAAATATTTTCCTCTCCTTTTTCTGATTCTCCACTTCCAACAAGAGACATTAGTGAATTTGGAAAATGATCCATTTAATTATCTTATTTGTCATCACTAGCTCATGTAAACATTATGATGTAAAATGATATTCTTTAGAACACATATAAATACACATTGTGTTTTTCTATGTGTTCTCATCCTTCACACATCATGTATCTAAATGTTTTTTTGTCACCTTGCACATTGACATCTCTCTCCCCTTCTCCCTCTTCCTATGTTGCTCCGTCAGCAGCATGCAGCCAATGGAACGCTGCAGGATTTTGATAAAGACAGAGCCTGGAAGGCAGTGGTGGTCCAAATGGCCACATAGACGTTTGATGAGGAGTGTGAGAAGGGGGGATAGAACCAACTCAGCACAAGAGTTAGTGCAAGAGTACAAAAAGGACGAAAGAAAAAGCAATGAAGATTTGTGCAGTTATGAAGATGTAAAGAAGATTAGGAGGCAGTAAATAAATAACGGAAGTTGGCGAAAGAAATCAGAAGGACAGAAAAGTTTAAAATAATGCAAAGCTGAGAATAATGCTTGCCTGCTTACTGTAGGGCATTATTTGACCTGTGTATAGTTAAAGTATTTCTACATTGTGATCTCGTGGATACAATGAACAAGCATGTGAGTCAATGTTTATAATACATGATTTGAGCATTTGTGGATATGAAAGGATTTCAGTTTATATGTCACCACTACAAAGAGAAATCTATGCATCTTTGCTACTTTTTTAAGCTGGTTGCAGCTGACTCAATTTATTCTAAACCTGTTGCGACCTAGTGATGTTTTAAAACAGCATTTATAGAAGTGTTGTGCATAGATTAAATTGATCCTAACTTTGTTCGTTTTACATTATTTCCCCAAAAAGTAAACACTGAATTATCTCCGCACTTACATGACTGTTAGTAATACATGTTTTAAGGAGTATGCCGCTTTGTGTACAGTGATGTGTTAGTGGTAGCAACATCTTATTACAAGAGAATTCATCTACCTAGATTTTGCAGAATAACTTGTACATTTCAACTGAAATTGTGTTTTACTATAGGAAAATAAAATGTTTGTCCTCAACTGCAAGAAAATGGGTGAATATTGTTTCATGATTGCTCTCGTTGTTGTTTAATGTTGCCCTATTGATCAATGTGCAGATATATAAATAAGTAAGATGGGTAAGATGAGACTAAGTGACTGGATCCTGAAATAACCTTACAGGAAATATCATATTTTTAGATGTTAGGCTGAGTTGTGAGGCACATTTTTGCTATATTGTATATAAAGTCGACGTTTAGCCTATAATGTTCTGTGTTTGTCACATTGTCGTTCAACAACGAGATTTGTGTTCAATATCATTTAGTCAAGAACAACATCACCTTTAACTATGACTTCAATGTTACATGCATAATTGCAAGTTCACAGTTTTCCTAATTAAGAGGGCTGAGTGTATTTCTAAACATATTAGGCCTATCATTATGCTTTTTTGTTCTTCAAAGTGAACAACCTCAAGATCACTGCAAGGATGCTCAAAGAGAGAGAGGGAGAGAGAGAGAGAGAGAGAGAGAGAGAGAGAGAGAGAGAGAGAGAGAGAGAGAGAGAGAGAGAGAGAGAGAGAGAGAGAGAGAGAGAGAGAGAGAGAGAATACTATATTAGGAAGCAGACGTAGTGAGGTGCGGCTTCCACAACCTGCAGAAACCGGCTTGAGGAAAACTGACTTGTGGCTCAGTCCGGCTGACAAACATCTAGAGCGCGCCCCTATCGCGCGCCCACATCACACATTCAAGGATCTCAACATAGGCCTAGTGCACGAGGCTGCTGGAGGAAACTGTCCTTGCTAAGCAGTGATGTAATTTTAAGTTAAGGAAATCTTTGTTAATACATGTTATTGTCCGTACAAGACAATGTTCTTTAAAAATACATCATGACTATCTTCACACAGTCATATATATCAGTAGCCCACGCAGGGTTCCCAGTTGTAATGCTCTACTTCATTTGAAAATGCAGGTTACCCGGCCTCCACTTCATCAGGAAACAAAATCCTTGCCACACATATGTGTTTGAACAAAACACATGTCATGTGCAGAGTCTCCGTGCTCATGTGATCGGTTCATGCTGCGTGCATGTTTATTATGGCTGCTCATGAAGTCACTCGTCTAGTGAGTCGGCACTCCTGTCTCAAAGTTAGGTGTATATACACCGTGTTGAGTGGCACAGATATATTATTAATTTAGTAGGATGTAGTTTATGTGGATAAATGTTTATGTGGCGTTAAATGTGAGATATTATGTGTTTACAGTTCATTTATTGCTCCGCTACTCGGCTACCGGAAGTAGCATGTCTGTAGCGTTTCACAATAAGAGCATCTGCTGCCGCTTTCCGCCAACCGGAAGTGGAACGTTATTCATTAGCGGTAGCTTAACTTTGACTCTCTGATATACTATTTTAAATAGCATAGTAGATGAATTCCTAATTGTTGTTGTTTTTACTGGTTAAAATATTGTTTGTAAATGTGTCTATTTGATAATAAATGTCATACTCTTGGGGGAAATCCTTGTCTTAGGCCTTTTTGTTGACTGCCAATTGTATCGTGTTTTCTTTCAAATTGAATCTGTGGAGTTTTTGCTGTTTGATCAAGTTGAGTCAGAGGGCAACTTTGATCAGTAGAACAGCTAAACTTTAGGCAGTGTGCGCGGCCGCGGTGTGCTTGTAGATCTCCAACATAAAACAAATGTAATTCATTCTTATTATTATAGCATTCTCATCCACTGCTTTAGCCTGTCAAGGACACCTGCACATCATCCTCACATGTTTGTGTGAGAGAATAAAGTCTTATTGTTTTTGCCATTTTAGTTTTTCTCACTCCAAACTTTAACCTGTTAGGCCCCAAGCCTGTTTTTCAGGTCTCAGGCTCGAAAATGACATTTCCAGAACAAATGACCATAACTACACTTCTAAAAGGGGAACATTAATAATCTTTTTTCTCAAAGTAATGATAAACCTGTGAGTTGGATGTAGAAAAGTCAGAATCAATATAGATGTTTTTTATTTTAAAGAAAATTCAGATTGAACATGGTAAAAAACTGTAAATTATAGTGTCCGTCCAAAAAATATGTTGTACTTATAGTGAAAACTAACCTTGGATGATGGGTTAGTAGACTAAAAGCTTTAAGAATCCAAAGTACAACATATAATAAGTACCCTGTATCAAGATTGATGCAAAACAAGTGATATTTGATATTTACTTATAGTGAAAACTACCCTTGGATGGTAGGTAGACTTATGGCGCGTTTCCACTGCAGCGGGTAGCCCCGTTTAAGCGTCCTTAACCGTCCTCAAGCGGCCAGGCCGGTTTTTGGTGGCGTTTCCATATAGCCTAGTACCGGCCAGCGGGTACTTTTTCCCTCTTTTTCCGGCCTCATAAAATCGTGGTTCCCTCAGACCAGGGCCAGGGCTGAACTAGTGACGTCAACACTCTCGACTGCTGATTGGTCAGAGAGAATCGTCACAAGATTGCGCGCGAGTTCATCCCTAGCGTCGCATATATATCTAGAAGCAAGCTTGCAGCATTTTTATAAACAGCATTTTGTAAACGGATGAGCTACAAAAATGGCTACGTCTAATAAGAAAAGCACACCGTGGTCGACCGAGGAGGTGACGACGTTCCTTCATCTCATTGGGGATGATCAAATCCAGCGGGAGCTCGACGGAACAACTCGAAATGTGAACAAAAACAAAGCCGATCGCCCCGCCTACACTGCGTTGCTACCCAAGGTCCTAAACTGTAATGGAAATGCGCCACGGCCTGGGCCGGCCAGCGAGGCAGCCCGAGGCCAGAGCGAGGACGCTTAGGGACGCTTAAACGGGGCTACCCCGCTGCAGTGGAAACGCGCCATAAAAGCTTTAGGAATCCAAAGTACAACATATAAGTACCCTGTATCAAGATTGATGCAAAACAAGTGACATTTGACCTTTTTAGAGAGGTTTAGCAAAAAAAAAACACTTCTGGGGTCATTTGGGTGGATTTTTCATATCTCTGGCCCCCTTGGTCGATTTTGATTGACATCTCTTTCTAACCGCTAGAGCCAATGGAATCGAGGGAAAGTTCCCATACACACACAGGTTACCAAATAAGGAGTGAGAGAGACGAGTAGAAAAACCGGAAGCTGCGCTAGCCTCTGGTGTCCTGTCCCCCCACTTTACAAATATGTTTATTTGTTAACGCAAGCCGTCTTCGCCACAGAGGAGCACACAGCCTCTGTGAGCGAGTGAGACAGAGAGCAAGCTAGGGAGAGCACATCTTTATCTATGTAATAAATCATTCCAATGTGTACTATAGGACAGTAAAAAAAAAAAAAAGTTTTAAAAGGGGAGTGATTAGTAAAATATGCATAAATGAAAAAGAATGCTAACTAGGTAAGATAAGAATAAACAAGTTTAAAGGATTTGTGTTGTGATCATATTCTAAAGATGTTTGGATTATTGAAAAGTATACAGCTCCTCCCTTTCATATGAGTGTTGAGAGCTGTATCCATAAATTCATTTTGTGCTCAAAGTGCACCAGATTGATGCATTTAACTTAAACATTTAAAAAACAGTCTTCCCGGGCGAGCATTAATCACATGTTTTCAATATTGTTTTTATTTCAACCTTTATAAATCTGGTTGTGTGGTTTAGGTTTCACAACACCTTTTGTAAATGTGTTGTGAAAAAATAAATCTATTGGATATGCATGTTGCACAAGGTCGATTACAAAGAGAGTCCCAGTCAGTCTGGATCTTTTGGATAGCGTCTTCATCTGCACTGGCATCAGCTGACACAGCAGCAGCTGTAACTAACAACCATCGATAACCATCAAATTCCTTGTTCTTCAAATAAGACATGTTATGCATCCCAGGAAAGGCGGAAAGCATTTAGACTATAATTGAAGACAAAGAACCCTGGAACGTAAAAGGCAAAAACATTTTATCTCCAGTATCCACATCCAGCTGTTGTGAAGACCTCCATTGTCTTCCACTACAGTATGTCAACTGTTGATCGTTATCATCAATGTTCCCATTCAAGTGATGGGAACATATAACACAATCTGGAGTTGCCTCTGACATATAGGACCTGGATAACACACAGTGGTATCTTTCTGAAATATCTCCCAATATTTCTTTAGAGACAAATATTGGGAAATAAATGCATTTGTCATAAATGTACATAATGTGATTCCAGTTTTTAAAAGCTCTGGACACTAAAAGGAGATGTACAGTAATGAAAATACAACCTCACTGTCAGGTTTGACAATAAATAATGCCTTTATAAAGGCTATCGGACACGTTTTCAATATTTATTGTTTTTATTTCAAACTTTATATATCTGGTTGTTTGGTTTTACAACACCTTTTGTAAATAATGTGTTGCGTGGCAGCACAGACACTGGTAAATCACGAGCAAGGCACACTGGTTACGGATGGCAGCTTCCTCATCGCTGCACTCGGAGAGAAATAGTAGAGACGGAGACGTTGAACTGTTTAGCCCGCCTTGGGCATGGTTTATGTTCCGATGCACTGCACTCTGACATGCTGTGGAGTGAATCGAGTCACCTCTGAGAGGGAGTTGGTTGACAGCTAAAAAAGCTATAATATCAACGACAGCTGACACGTAATAACGGCTCCGTGCCATCTGATCTGCACCAAAGTTCTAATTTCCTTATTTGTTTCCTCGCGTATCTGTCTCTCTCCACAAACTCTCACATGAAATGTGTTCTTTTGATGCGACATGCCTTAGCAGTCTTTTATCAGTCTGTAATGCGTGTTTCCAGTCGCAAAAACCTTTGACAGTAAAAGCCGCATCAGACGTATTCACTTTAAACTGTCTACAGAGGAATCAAAAGGCTGCGTCTGCTTTTAACAAATCTTCAAGCCATGGTCTGTTGTTGTACCATGCAGCGGCAAAAGTGCGCTTCTTTCCTGAAAACAATCTCCCTGGATAACGATCCAGCTTCACCTGGTTGGGTTTATTAACCCCAAGATCATCGCTAACTCAACCCCGGGGTTTGCCGAGGTCAAGCTTGTGAAATTAAGGCGTGCTGCTGCAACGGCAGG